GCTGTTTTTGGACTGAATTTGGCTCACCTCTGCTCTCTGCTTTTTGCTACCTATGGGTGAAAACAATTTCAAAGTGCGTATAAAACCATAAATATATGACCTGTCTTCATACATGGATATAACCCATTCCGCTCTCTGGTCATGAATACAAGTGGGTACAAGCTCTAACAATTGTTTTATTAAAGTAACATAGGTCTTTAAGATTGCTATTTTAAACTGGCAGTGTATCCAAAAAATACCTGAGCTGAAAGAAAACCACTGAAAACAAGAATTTACCTATCTCACATATATAGTCTGGAACCAAGATACAAAGCAAAACAAACCCAACAATTAATTGAGAATAAATAAAATTTTATTTAATGAATAAAGAAACAGTCCATCACATCCTCTAAATGGCTTTTTAAAATATCCAGGTTGAATTAAATACTGGTTCTTAATTCTTATTTTTCTTCTTCTAATTGCAAAGTTTCCAAACAAAACACAACCCCCAACAAATCCTTAAGAAAGCACGACTAGGAAACAGTAACAATGTCATGGAGATACCTGGTCTATGGGAATACAGTACCACATACCTTTTGAAGAAAGACACAGTTTATGCTCACAAACATTTGGGCTTAAGCGATCACTTGTTTTCAGTTCCACAGAATATCTAACATGCATGATGCAGAAGAACAGGAATAAAAGCCAAGATCCATTAATTGCTTTTTAGTAATGGAAGCAAAACATACAGTTTATATAATTCACACATTTTAAAATGGCTGCTATAATGTTTTTTCCATTAGGATTTCAATAACCAAAAAAGTACTTTAGAAAATAAGTTGACTCAAGCTTCCTAAGATGGAAGCATACCATGTTTGTAAGAAGCATCTCTTGATTCTGATTGAATTATGTTAGCTATGGGTGCTCCATGCCTCAGCTGAAGTGTGTGTGTGTGTTTGTGTGCATGTGTGTCCATGCCTGTGGGCATATGTACATCCTTTGTCAGTCCTCATGGCTGAAATGAATCATTGGGGGGTTAAATTCAGACTTGATGTAGCCAAGAATGCAAAAACAGTGGCCAAAGGCTATGCTCATTTTTGTGGGTCCATATCTATCTGTTATTGTAAAGTTGATTCATTTCAACATAAGGCCATTGACATGCTAGCATGGAACAAAAGTTTTTTCACTGGGTACAATGAAGTTGTCCTGAACTGCTTAAGCCAGAAATGAATACAGGAACTCCTTTGCTCTTTCTTCGTGGATTGCAGAGTCATTATTTCCACTAGCTTCAATCATGGACACAGGAGTCAGAATTCCTGTAGGCTATTCTACCTACGCCAAAATAAATTTTCCTGGAATCTGCCACAGAAAGCGCATAGAATATTTCTTGAATTCATTTGATTTTTCTCTAGATTCTTCTTTTAACTGCATACCATCTTAGAAGAAGATTCCACCATTTTGTACTACTCCTCTAAAGAAAAACAAAATGTTCAAAGAAATGTGAACATTTAAAGCAAATTTAACTACTTACTTCGGAGAAAAATATTTTAAATGTTTCCTTTGGAATAAAAAAACTGCTATTACTTTTTTTAGGGTCTCCAAAGTAAATTCTTCATAAATGTTTATTTATCCTAGCCTCCATCCTGGAAAAGTTTCAATCAAGTATTTTGTTTATTTTACAGATAAAGAAACAAGAGACCTCAGAGTTATAGAAAAATCAGAGAATGTGTCTGAAATTCATCTGAATTATTAAAATCCCCCTTGAATTCCTAGGAATTCACCTAAGAATGCCTAGAAATAAGGAGCTTTCCTAATGCTATTAAATATTTTACAGATTTTAAAAATCTCAACAGAAAGGTAACAAAGGGAAAAGGGTAGGTTTAAGAAACTTAATGCTAAAGGGGTGCCTGGGTGGCTCAGTCATTAAGTGTCTGCCTTCGGCTCAGGTCATGATCCCAGGGTCCTGGGATTGAGCCCCGCATCGGGCTCCCTGCTCCATGGGGAGCCTGCTTCTCCCTCTCCCACGGCTTGTGTTCCCTCTCGCTGTGTCTCTCTCTGTCAAATAAATAAATAAAATCTTAAAAAAACCAAACAAACTTAATGCTAAAGATTGGAAAAGTAAGTGAAAATCAGAAAAGAAGATAAGGTGTCTCTGAAATAAAAATACTGAAAAAGTAAAATTTAATTTACACATGTGCATTGAGACAATGCAGTTGCATGCAAATGATTTCATTTGAATTATTTTAGGGTTTTAACTCTCCTTAAACACAGTAAAACCATTTATACTCTGTACACATGCACATTTAGTAATCTTTTGGTAGTGACTGCTATAGTCAATACTAGCATATAATTCACTGAATTCTCGCGCTACTAATTGTGGGAAAATTACAAGAATCTGCTAGTTTGCAGATAACTCACTGAATCTGTGAAAAACATCAGGATCTCTGGAGTTTTGGAACATTGTACAATTCAGTCTTACCATACTATATGAGAATAACTTATGTTTCTTACGGGTATTAAAACAGCTTTTTTCTTTTTTTTAAGACTTTATTTTTAAGTAATCTCTATACCCAACGTGGGGCTCAAACTCACAACCCCGAGATCAAGAGTTGCATGCTCCACCAACTGAGCCAGCCAGGTGCCCCAAAACACCTCTTTATTGTATCTCCATTAATTTCCAATCTAAACTGGTCAAGCCTCTCTACCCCTATCTTTCCCATCTTTAAGTTGCATTTTTAAATGTGTCTCTGTTTTCAGTAAGGAGGCAGAATGAATTTTTTTTTAAAGATTTTATTTATTTATTTGAGAGTGAGAGAGAGAGAGAATGAGAGAGAATACGAGAGGGGGTAGGGTCAGAGGGAGAAGCAGACTCCCTGCTGAGCAAGGAGCCCGATGCGGGACTCCATCCCAGGACCCTGGGATCATGACCTGGGCCGAAGGCAGACGCTTAATGACTGAGCCACCCAGGCGTCCCCAGAATGAATTTTTATCTTAGAGAGTTAAAGAACATTTTATAAGAAGTGTACTGGATTTGCTGGATATTTTAGGAAGATTAAAACCTAGTTATCTTTCTGTTGTTCTGTTGATATTTAACCAGATTATAATTCATGTTGTAATTTATACAATTTGAATAATTTTTAAAAATCACTTCCAAGTGTCAAATATATTTGTACATTAAAAAATTGGTTGGATCTTCATCAAAAAGTTTAAACCTGGAAACGAGAACTGTTTTCTTCATTTTAAAGAAAAATATACATTTATTTCAGCATTGAAATATTTATTGTCAAATAGTGTTGGAATCTTTTAATTTCTATTCCTAGGGAGACATTTTCTATTCACTCATATGTTAAAATCTTCTAGTAAATTAGTATTTATATGCCTCTACAGTACACCATTCTCTTTATGCTTTCAGCATTTTTGGCACAATTCTCAGAGGATTGAAAAGTGTGTTCTTTCTCTATTTCTTGCAATTTCAAGGCTATTGCTTTTTGGAGTTTGAGGTGGCCATTATTTACAGATTAACAAAAGGTAGCCTGTTTATCATTCTATAATTCCAAGTATGCTAACTAATATAATTAGAAATAAGAGGCAAACATATTTTCAAAAAATATGCATTTTTTTGCACTACAAAGATTTTTAAAAACATGGTATTAGCAACTATTTTTAGCATACTGATGACCACTGCATTGTCAAAGTTGAAGATGCTTGGCATTCTTCAAGCAGTGTTTCAGTAATTAACTTTCTGAAATATTGATCCACATAAAACAAGAAAAGGCAATTAGTGATGAAAAGGACTTCAACAAGCTTATTGTAATCTAAGTAACTGTTCATCTTACTGGTAAAGCACATTGATTTTCTACTCAACCATCAGCAGAAATGCTTTGAGGCCAGGTTACCCAAGGACCCTGGAAGGGACCTTGAATAAAGGTCATTATTAGGAACTTTGCCTTTGAGTTTACAACCAATTCATAAATAGCCCAGATATAAACAGACTCAGGCCAGGATCTCAGCTTGGAAGGTACTTTGGGAGTTTGTGGGGAGGAAGAAGACAGAAGGAGGCTGTGATCAACAAGAATTTGGGTGTCTGACCCAGTTAGTTTTCTAGACCTCTCCTCCCAAGCTGATTTTTTTTTTTTTTTTTACTTTGTCAACAATTCTGTCAATTAGAAGTTGATGGGAGTAAGAAGGCAACTGCTTTAAAAAAAATGCAGCCCCTCTGTGAAGTTAAAAGACTCCAGGCATTCAGACTTCATTCAGTTGGACTGCTTTCTTCTGACCATCGGGCCCAGATGCCTGGAACTGGAGTTAGGTCATTTTGGAGCATGAAGCATGCTGACAGGCTGAGATGGGACGGGTTACCACAGAGGGGGATTATAGAACATGGAGCACAAGGTATCTGGGGAGGAAAACACAGAATGGGGGATAGATGCAAAGGACCGTAGACACGCTTTAGCTTTGACACATCATAGATACAAAAAAGGAGGAAGTCCTCTTATTGGCTGCTTTGCCTGGATCCTGTTCTTGGGACCATAACCCAATCAGGTGTAATGGATATTGTAACTCAGTCAATTAGTAAAGTACAATTACAACAAGTAGACCCAATTAAATGGGCTTTACTGAGTTCACTTAGGAAATCTAGCTTTGTGTGTTGTATGTGTAAGGAAATATATTTGGAGTTTTAAACAACCAATTTATAAGTGAACATCTGGAAAGCAACCCATTTGTCATTTGAGGATTATCCAAATTAATCTGTCCCTATAAAAGTCAGCTTTTGACTCCTCTGGGAATTATTCCCCATGGTATGTTTCCTTCAGAGTTCTGGCTCTATCTATGGCTAGTCTCTCAACTATGTGATTTCTCATTGGATGCTTACAAAAGTTAAGTTAGGAATAAAAAGAGAAAGATGCATTGAAACCAGTTCCACTATTTGGCAATTCTGATTAAAACCTTCCTTTAGCGAAGGGTGCTATGTTTCAAAAAGGCAATTTCATTTAAATGGTGCATTTCCTTTCTCCATTTTCCCCTTTGATCCCCATTTCCATGACTAATCAAATTATGAAAAGCCCTTCAAGTTGTTTGGAGAGAAGAGTGCTTATGGGACCTGTATGGCTTTTAGAAACAAAGGGTCAGACAAATTGCATCAACTTCCCCTCTTTCCCTGGTCCATTTTTGCAGGTTTTTGAGCTTCCTCTGGGGGCTTCATGAATGCTACATGTCTAGTGAGTGTTGCACAAAATAGTAGGGTCTAATAAGGCCAAAGCGTGTGTTTATTTCTACTTTCTAGGCATGCACTGCATGTACCACAAGGCGGGGGAGTATATTCTTCACCAAGTGCCAAAACTACAGCTTTATGCCATCTGCATCCCTTTGGACCTTTATGGGTAAGTTCTGAAATTATTCTTCTTAATATCAGCTGCTCTTTGGAATCACTCGGGAAGCTTTAAAAAATACTGCTGCTTATGCCACAATTCCGGAGCTTATGACTTAACTGATTTGGGGTTGTGGCCTGGGTATCAAGATTTTTAAAAGCTCTTTAGGAGATTCTGATATGCAGCCCAGGTTAAGAACTACTGCTCTAGACTCAATTCACTTTATATAGAAACATATCGACTTACATAGACATTTAAAGTTCTTTTTAGGTCAATGACTATTTATTGAATGCCTGCTCTGTATAAGGTACATGACAAACTTTTGACACAGTCCATACCAACAGTAGCTAAAACCTAGTGTGGGCAAGACTGGCTAGTGCAAGAGGAGGGGACAGGCAGGTGTACAGAGGCTATGTTTTATATAAAATACTATACAAGGTCATCTTTTTTTTCTTCCAGATTCAAGAAACTTGCCGTAAGTTTTCAAAGAAAGTAGAATTGTATTTGGGTGGGGTCTGGGGGATCAGAAAATAGTTCGCAGAGGCAGAGGCATTTCAGATGGGCTTTAAGGAACAGATAAGATTGCCATAGGTGGAGGTTGGGGAGAGAGCCTTCCAAGCAGAGGCAGCAGAAAAGCATGTAGCTGGAACCAGGGGCCTGTGTTAGGTTTGTTGCCGTATTGGGTGTGTTTTCTGAGGAATGGGTTGAAAAGCTTTGGCATCACATTGGAGTGAGCCTTGACTACCACAGAGCAGAAGAGTGGGTACCTGATTTGGCTCTGGGGAGCCACTGGGGGTTTGAAATTGGGGAATAGTAGACATGGAGCAGTACTTCAGGAAGAAAGAGCTGACACTGAGATCTGGGCTGGATTTGGGTGGGAGAAATGGCAGGAACAGAGGCAGAAAGGCCACTTAGAAGTCCTTTATTATGGTTGAAGTCAGAAATATTGAGGGGAATTAATAAAGTAATGCAAGTCTGAACTGGAGAACTGCAGGGGGATGGAAAGGAAGGGCTGAATGTAAAAGAAATAATAAAATTAATGGGATCTGTTGATTGATTGGCTAGAGGAAGCAAAAAATGACTTGGATGCTTTTTATTTGGATTGCTAGGAATGTGATGGTGCCATTAATAGAAATCATTAAGCAAGGCTGAAGAATGGTTTATGAAAGGGAAGATGATGAATCTGATTTTGGACATGTTGAGTCCAAACATATCCAGCAGAACCAAAATTTCTTACGTAAGTATCCCTCATTATAACTGATTTCTAATGGAATTCTTAAAGCAGGGCACTGATTCGTTCCACAGTGGAGGATTCTGCCTCCTAGGAAGCATATGACACTGTCTGGAGACGTTTTGGGTGGCCACAACCTGGGGATGGGCCACTAATAGTCCTGGCATCTAGTTAGAGGCCAGTGATGCTACCAAACATCCTACACTGCACAGGACAGTCCCCTGCAATGAAGAATTATCCACCCCAAAATGCCAACGATGCTGAGGTTCAGAAAGCCTGCATTGACATAACCCAGTATTTTTAGGTTTCTTATATTTTAAGTTAGACAGCGCCACCCAGTGGTCAAATATAATATTTATCCTAACTCTCCGGTGAACACTAAGCAACAGATTAAAAAGTATCCAGAAAGCTAAGACATATAGAGGTGAAAAATATCCTTCCATGGGAGGACTATTTAGGGTTTACAGAAATAGATGTGATGGGTAGGTCAGGTGAACGACCAAGAAGGAACAATCCTGGAGTTAGAAAATTCTCTTTGGCTAGAAGAGATTTCATAATAGAAGCCACCATGGCAACAGAACATTTTAGAGGACGCATCGTGCATGAAACGTATACTATTTCATTACAGTTGCCTGTATTTTTGGTATTGTTCCCGAATACATGAAAAAAGGAAACCAAATCAAATAATTTCACTGCATAACTGACTGAAACCTTCATTTCTTAATGATGTAACCTACGGCATTTTGTTTCATTAAGAAATAAAGATTGAAAATATTAAGATGATTTTGGAGTCATAAAAACTTAGGATGAAAAGTACGAGAAACTTCTATTTGATAAAGAATAGATTCCCCCCACCCCCAAAGCAGCACTCTTTATGCCTTACATCTTACCTCCCCTACTAGATTGTAAGCTCCCTGAGGTCAGGGACTGTGTCTTATTCATAAGTCTCTAGCATAGCATCTTATACAGAGTAGACACACAAATGATTTTTTTTTTTTGAGTGAATGAATTTATTTTTGTACTGGAAATCCTTGCCTTGAAGTGAAGAAAATTTCAAGCCTTTCTAAACAACAACTATTTGTTCACTGGAGTAAGATGCCAGTTGAGGGTGCCTGGCTCAGAGAACACCAGACACCTGGGGAATTGGTAACAGACACCTCCAATTCATTTCACAGGTGAGTCTGGAGCAAGCTGTGCTGTGATGACCATTCCCAAGGCAATTTTTGGAGTGCTGTGTGAATTGCAGATTTCCCTATCTAATGTAAGATTCATTCATCCAACAAATATCTATTGAATGTCTATGTGGTGCTAAGCACTCTTCTAGGCGCTGGGGATAATCGCAGTCAACTTACGTCTAGAAATTGCTTAAGTTAAGAGGCAGGTTTTGAATAGGTGGGTTAGAACAAAGATGCACATTCCCCTTTCCTCCTACTTTCCTGGTTAGCATGATGTTTTCTATATAGAAAATGCAAATTAATTATCTGAAAAACAAGACGTCTCCTTCCACACCCACTGCTCTTCTAGGGCAAGTGAAAACAACACTCGCCCATCACTTCCTCTCCTTGTTTGCATCTCTTCCTCCCTCACTGCCTCATACAGTTCCAGACTTTTGGGGAGTGGGGAGGGGCAGATGATGACGACTCTTGCATATTTTGCAAGTGGCAATTGAAGCTAGTAGTTTTAAAAGTGACCCCACAGAAGATTTCTTTTTGGTTGGTTTACTAACAGCCTTTTAGTTCTAGAATTTCGGGATGTATAAAGTCAGAAAGAAAAACCACTCACCATGATATCCAAAAGAAAATGGTGCAGACAGGTTAATGGGGACTTGTTTGGCTATAGAACTAGTGCACTGTGCAATATTGAGTGTTTCTCCTTTGCATTGTTTGGTGAGTTAGTGATACCTAAGGTCACTACTGTCTAACTCCTTTCAGCCCAAGCATATGGCCCCTCATTGCTCCTAGTAGGGCCTAAATATCCCTAACATAGCAGGGGGCAGGGATCATGCTAGCTTTTTCCCAAAGCAGTGGATGACTTCATGACATCTTTGGTTCATCTGTATCGTCTTCTCACATTTTTGTTGGAATCTTTAAAAGGCACAGCCCTACACCTTTCCCCCAGCTGAGACTGCAAGAGTCCCCAGCTGACTTATTTAAAGCACTTCTTGCCACGGGTCCAGCAGCATGGGAACTTACTCAAATCCAGTTGCTTGGAAACCACTATGTCTGGCTTGTCCTCCTTCCCCTCCACAGTCTGCCCCCTTACACAGCAGGCACCCAGACATTCCTAAAGTTCATCACTCTCCACTACACTCCGAGAAGAGCATGAATACACCATTGTGCTTTCCATGGAGGAAAAGGCAGAGAAAATGTCAAGTCCTTTACTGGTGAGAGATCCGTAGCGACTGCCACTGGGCCGGATGGACATGGGCGGTGGGATCTGCTGGTGCCACTGAGCTGGAAAATGGACCAAATAACATGTTACAATCAAAGGAATGCAGTCAAGTGGGTATAAGGCAGGGGTATATTCTGTCCTCATTCAAACACTTTCTGTGAAATATATCTGGGTCTGAAATGCGTCATTTGCAAAAGAACAATGAAATCTCTCCTCTCCTGCCAGGAATAGGCAAACTGGGCTGGCGAGTTCTTATGCTCCTAATTCCAAAACCCACGATCTGGGACTATAAGAGTAGCTGTAGTGGGATGCCTGGGTGGCTCAGTCGGTTAAGCCTCTGCCTTTGGCTCAGGTCATGATCCCAGGGTCCTGGGATTGAGTCCCGCATCGGGCTCCCTGCTCGGCGGGGAGTCTGCTTCTCCCTCTGCCCACTGCTTCCCCTGTTGTGCTCTCTCTCTCACTCACTCTCAAATAAATAAAAAATCTTAAAATAAAAAAAAGAGTAGCTGTATAGGGTGATTTGTCAAAATATCTCCTCTTATGTTCCCTCTCACTGACCTAGCATGGAGTCTCCCAGTGGCAGTGTAGAAAGAGCTGCAGGCTCTCAAGGGCAGGTACACCTCAGAAGGTAGAGACAAGAAACCTGAGGTAATGGAAGCCAAAAGATGGGTCCAGAAGTACCTATTTCACACCCTACTCACTAATCAGCCACTACCTACACACCACCCTAATCAGGTTCTAATGCGTTGTAGCAAGAAGACTGAAACATAACTTATGTGCAATGAACCATGGTTCAGGGACAAAAGAGAATGTATTAGAATTTCCATGTTCAGCAAGCACTGTCTAAAGGAGACCTTGTTTTTAGCAGAGATGATCCTTAGACTTGAACATGCCTGAATGAAATATCCAACCAAACTGCTTTGTCTTGCTGTTGTGTCTGATTCAGAAATTACCAAGCAGTCTTCTGATTAGGTTTCTAGGGACTTGGTATGGAGAAAGGGGAGCACCAGTTGGGGAACATGGATGCTCTGGATCCTAGAAAGCTATGGACCTATTTAGCATTCTCATTTACAAACTGGACCTTTGTTGATTTCATTATTTTGAATCAGTTTTTTTAGTCTAAATACCTCTGAATGAATTGATAAAATCAAGTTTTGAAAGCTACAAAAGTGAGGACAAAACTTATAATGATTCCACTGAAGAGCAGGCACTCAGTGAGGCCACTGAATAGTCAAGTCTCTGCTCCAGACCCCTTAACCAGACTACTGTAATTGCTTCTATCAGAAGCCCTACTTTGGGGCGCCTGGGTGGCTCAGTCGGTTAAGCGACTGCCTTCGGCTCAGGTCGTGATCCTGGAGTCCTGGGATTGAGTCCCGCATCGGGCTCCCTGCTCGGCAGGGAGTCTGCTTCTCCCTCTGACCCTCCTCCCTCTCATGCTCTCTGTCTTTCATTCTCTCTCTCGCAAATAAATAAAATCTTAAAAAAAAAAAAAAAGAAGAAGAAGCCCTACTTTGGATGAGAGAGGGGAGCCCATCTGCTGTCCCGGTTCCTTGGACAGGCAGGAAATGGTAGTGGTGGTGGTGGTGAGGGGGTAGGGGATTGATTTTAGCCCAAGTCCTCCATTCCCTCCTCCACTCCCAGTCCCAGTCGAGGAAACAGCACCCCCTATTGTTGGTGCTGCTCAATCAAGACAGGAGCCTGGGAGAGGTGAGCCCGGAAAACTGAACTGGGAAGTGGAGAGCAGGATTGGGACAAGACTTACCAGTTTCGGGGCTTGTTGGTACTGAGTTTCTTAGCTGGAGAACTATTTCCCTCTGACATGGGAAAGTGGATGAAATGAACAGGGGACTTAGACTAGGTTAAATATATCGATGGCCTCTCTCTCCCCACTCCCTCACCAGGGAAAAGTACATTAGAGTCAGCGTCCCTCACAGTTGAATTTCTTTTCAAGTCCAAGGATAAAGGAAAATAATCAGAAACCTATGTATTTCCTCCAAATATTAGACCTAGGGAAAAATGGAAGGCCAAGGCCCCTCCTGTATGGTATACCTAGGGGTATATCTAGTATGCACCTATGAATAGCAGGGACCTCAGGTTCTAGACACAGTGACTCTTAGTTGTTATTCTGGTTAATCATGTTGAACCAGTAATGAGTAAGAAATTTATTAATTATTAAATTATTTTTTAAAAAATTTTTTAAAGAAGAGGAAAAAAAAAGAATCACCCTTTTGGATTAAGGAATATATCTCCAAAAATACCAGTTAATGTAAAAAGTATAGAGGAGAGGAGCAGGATACATTACATTACATTAATAAAGATTGACTTGTTAAATTCTTTTTTTTTAAGATTTTATTTATTTATTTATTTATTTGACAGAGAGGGAGACAGCGAGAGAGGGAACACAAGCAGGGGGAGTGGGGGAGGGAGAAGCAGGCTTCCCTGCAGAACCAGGAGCCCGACGCAGGGCTTGATCCCAGGGTCCTGACCTGATCATGACCTGAGCCGAAGGCAGACGTTTAATGACTGAGCCACCCAGGCACCCCTAACTTGTTAAATTCTTTTGAAAATTAGAAATACGGCTCAAAGGAATGATACAAAAACCTATTTGCATCCTGGCTATAGATACTTAACCTCCCTGAGTCTCAGTTTCTTCAGCATTTAGATGAGGGTGACAACAATTACAGTAATTGTTTGGGGGGGGTCTAAGGGTACCATTTTGTAAATTACAAGTCATTATACAAACATCATTTGATATTAGGACAGCTCTCTATTATTAGTCTGGTTGTGGGATTGGCACAATAAATATTTGTGAAATGAATTAACAGATGAATGGGGGCAGGAAAATTCTGCTGGGTGGAGGTATGTCTGGGGGGAATGACAGGCAGTGAGGAGGGAATTCCAGTGGGTGGCCCATGGTATTAAGGAGACAGCATGAGATGTTGGATGATCAGAAGCATAAACACAGTTAAACTCTGAAAGAGCTGTAATTCCTAACATTATAGGACATTTTTTTTTAAAAGATTTTATTTATTTGCGAGACAGAGAATGAGAGACAGAGAGCATGAGAGGGAGGAGGGTCAGAGGGAGAAGCAGACTCCCTGCTGAGCAGGGAACCCGATATGGGACTCGATCCCGGCATTCCAGGATCATGACCTGAGCCGAAGGCAGTCGCTCAACCAACTGAGCCACCCAGGCGCCCATATAGGACATTTTTTTGAAGAAGCTTAAGCTCATAGTAAAATGCAGAAGTATACAAAAGCCCTGAGGTGACTAGGATGAAATGATTTTTAAAATCCATCGCTTAAGCACTAAAATATAATCCAACCAATTCAGTTATGGAAACACACTACACCTATCCTTAAAAAAATTGTTTTCAGCTACCTATCACACACAGATGTTTAGCTGAGGACATTACACCTACCGTATATATCCAACCTCGCGGTGCACGACACGATGCCGGCTTCATTCTTGGCTGACAACGTGTACCATCCAGCGTCGGATTTCTTGGCTGGCTGAATGAGGAGGCAGACATACCCTGTTGTGTCCTGGTGCATACTGGAGAAAAAAGAAAACACATCTGCATTGTACCTGGAGGCAGAAAAGGCCTTGAGCAGTTCAGGGCTCAGGGAAACTCTTGCAGCAAATCCAGCAGTGCCGTGGAATTGGCTTAAAGCAATTATCAAAGGCAAACTGAACAGTGGAAAGCAGTCACAAAAGAGCAGGAGTTAACCCATTGAGGCCCAAATGAGGGTTGACAGCCTAGGCTGAGACCTGTTCTTGCCCTCCCCACTGCTTCACCTCTCTTGGAGTTGTACTCCCCACCAGAGGGGCCCCCACTTGTCACAACCAAAATCCAGAAAAATCTTTCTTGCAAACCAGATTGGACATTTCAACGAGCCCTTTGCTAGGAAGCTATAAGAAAGTAGACCAAGATGAGAGTCATGTTGATGTATAGTTAGCATGGAGGGGTTATTTCTTAACGTTACCAATTGGGCATGTGCAGCATTTAGTTAAATACAGTTCAGGAGAAAATTCCTTCTGTTTCCTCCACATCATTAGTTCTCACCCTTGGCTGCACATTGCAATCTTGGATAATTACACTAGAACTTCAGGCTGGGTTTAACATGTTATGTTAATTATTATTATTATTTTAAATAAACTTTATGCCCAACATGGGGCTTGAAATCATGACCCCAAGATCAAGAGTGGCATGCTGTACTGACTGAGCCAGCCAGGCACCCCAACATGTTATATTAATTTAGCCTGAAGCATTAACTCAAGAATATTTTCTGTGCTTGCTTTAAGTTTTACCAGAGAAAAATCTTGACCTATATATATATATGTAGGCTTCTTAGATGCCAAAATTCTGTAAAGTTTGACAGCTACAACATCCTCTGGGACAAATTCAGTTTACTGTGAAGAAATAATTCTCAGTAGAAACTTTTGTACACAAGTTGCTTGCCCCCTCGTGGCATACAATGGAAATGGCAAAGGTAAGGTTGATGAGAGGAAATCTAGCAAGGTACCCACTTTTGGAAACTGGATTCTTAGTTACTTTATTTTTTTTATTTTTTTAAAGATTTTATTTATTTATTTGACTGAGAGAGACAGTGAGAGAGGGAACACAAGCAGGGGGAGTGGGAGAGGGAGAAGCAGGCTTCCCACTGAGCAGGGAGCTTGCTGCGGGGCTTGCTGCGGGGCGCGATCATGGGATCATGGGATCATGGGATCATGACCCGAGCTGAAGGCAGACGCTTAACGACTGAGCCACCCAGGCGCCCCTCTTAGTTACTTTAAAAATAACCATGTCGTGATGGATAGAAAAGGAGTTACTGCCTTAATATTTTGTTCTGCTTTATTTTATGTTAGCTTTTTACTGTCAGAGGGGTTTCCTGGGTACTAATATGACTGAAGATATGTGACAATATGCAGGATCTTCACAATTCACAAATTCCTGATACATTTTTAAATTTAAAAATTAAAGTTTTAACAAAATCAGAAATGAACGAGGAGAAATAACAACCAACACCACAGAAATACAAAGGATTATAAGGGAATATTATAAAAAATTACATGCCAACATTGGACAACTTAGAAGAAATGGATAAATTCCTAGAAACATATAACCTCCCAATACTGAATCAGGAAGAAATGGAAAATTTGAACAGACCGATTGCCAGCAATGAAATTGAATCAGTAATTAAAAAACTCCCAACAAACAAAAGTCCAGGACCAAATGGCTTCACAGGTGAATTCTACCAAACATCTAAAGAAGAGGCAATACCTATTTTTCTCAAACTATTCTAAAAAATAGAAGAGGAAGGAAGGCTTCCAAATTCATTCTATGAGGTCAGCATTACCCTGATACCAAAACCAGATAAAAACATTACAAGAGAAAGAAAGAAAGAAAAAAAGAAAGAAAGAGAGAAAGAGAGAGAGAAAACTGCAGGCCAATATCTCTAATGAACACAGATGCAAAAATCCTCAACAAAATATTAACAAGCTGAATCCAACAATACATTAAAAAAATTCACTATGATCAAGTGGGATTTATTCCTGGGTTGCAAAGGTAGTTCAATATTCATAAACCAATCAATGTGATATATCACATAAACAAGAGAAAGGTCAAAAACCATATTATCATTTCAATAGATGCAGAAAAAGCATTTTACAAAGTAAACATTCATTCATGATAAAAACTCTTAACAAAGTAGGTTTAGAGAGACTATACCTCAACATAATAAAGGCCTTATGTGAAAAACCCACAGCAGACATCATACTCAATGGTGTAAAACTGAAAGCTTTTCCCCTAAGGTTAGGAATAGGACAAAGATGTCCACTCTCACCACTTTTATTCAGCATAGTGCTGGAAGTCCTAGCCACAGCAATCAGACAAGAAAAAGGAATAAAAGGCATCCAGATTGGTAAGGAAGAAGTAAAATTTTCACTATTTGCAAATGACATGATACTATACATAGAAAACCCTAGAGACTACTAGAACTGATAAATGAAGTTGGTTAGGTTGCAGGATTCAAAATCAATGTACAGAAATCTGTTGCATTTCTTTCTTTTCTTTTCTTTTCTTTCTTTCTTTCTTTCTTTCTTTCTTTCTTTCTTTCTTTCTTCCTTCCTTCCTTCCTTTCTTCTTTCTTTCTTTCTTTCTTTCTTTCTTTCTTTCTTTCTTTCTTTCTTTCTTTCTTTCTTTCTTTCTTTCTTTCTTTCTTTCTTTCTTTTTAACCGTTTTTAAAGTCAGTTCTATGCCCAATGTGGGGCTTGAACTCACAACCCCAAGATCAAAAGTTCCATGCTCCACTGACTGAGCCAGCCCGGCACGCCCCCCCTCATTGCATTTCTATATACTAATAATGAAGCAGCAGGAAGAGAAATTAAGAAAACAATCTGATTTACAGTTGACCAAAAATAATAAAATACCTAGGAATAAACTTAAGGAGATGAAAGATCTGTACTCTGAAAACTATAATACACTGATGAAAGAAATTGATAAAACAATGATGAAAGAAACTGAAGATGACACAAACGAATGGAAAAATATTCCATGCTCATGGGTTAGAAGAACCAATATTGTTAAAATGTCCATACTACCCAAAGCAATCTACAGATTTAATGCAATCCCTATCAAAATACCAATAGCATTTTTCACTGAACTAGAACAAATGATCCTAAAATTTGTATGGAACCACAAAAGACCCCAAATAGCTGAAGCAATCTTGAAAAGAAAGGCAAGGTGCCCTTGGGTGGCTCAGTCGTTAAGCATCTGCCTTTGGTTCAGGTCATGGTCCCAGGGTCCTGGGATCGAGCCCCACATCGGACTCCCTGCTCAGCAGGAAGCCTGCTTCTCTCCCACTCCCCCTGCTTGTGTTCCCTCTCTTGCTGTGTCTTTCTCTGTCAAATAAATAAATAAAATCTTAAAAAAAAAAGAAGAGCAAAACTGGAGGTATCACAATCCCAGATTAAAAGTTATACTACAGGGCGCCTGGGTGGCTCAGTTGGTTAAGCGACTGCCTTCGGCTCAGGTCATGATCCTGGAGTCCCTGGATCGAGTCCCGCATCAGGCTCCCTGCTCGGCAGGGAGTCTGCTTCTCCCTCTGATCCTCCTCCCTCTCATGCTCTCTGTCTCTCATTCTCTCTCTCTCAAATAAATAAATAAAATCTTTAAAAGTTATACTACAAAGCTGTTGTAATCAAAACAGTATGATGGTGGCACAAAAATAGACCAATAGATCAATGGAACAGAATAGAAAGCCCAGAAATAAACCCACAACTGTATGGTAATTAATCTTTCACAGAGGAGGCAAGAATATGCAATGGGGAAAAGACAGTCTCTTCAACAAATGGTGTTAGGAAAACTGGACAGCTACATGCAAAAGAATGAAACTGGACAACTTTCTTACACCATACAGGAAAATAAACTCAAAATGGATTAAGGACCTAAAAGTGAGACCTGAAACCATAAAAATCCTAGAAGAGAGCAGACAGTAACTTCTCTGACTTCAGCTGTAGCAACGTTTTTCTAGATATATCTCCTGAGGCAAGGGAAACAAAAGCAAAAATAAACTATTAAGACTATATCAAAATAAAAAGTTTCTGCACAGGGTGCCTGGGTGGCTTAGATGGTTAAGCATCTGCCTTTGGCTCAGGTCATGGTCACAGGGTCCTGGGATCGAGCCCCACATCAGGCTCCTGGCTCGGGGGGGGGGCCTGCTTCTCCCTCTCCCTCTGCCTCTCCCCCTGCTCATGCTCTCTCTTTCTGTATCTCTGTGTCTGAAATGAATAAATAAAATCTTTAAAAAAAAAGTTTCTGTACAACACAGGAAATAATCAACAAAACTAAAAGACAACCTACTGAATGGGAGAAGATATTTGAATATGACATATTGGATAAAAGGTTAGTATCCAAAATATATAAAGAGCTTAATATAACTCAACACACAAAAACCAAATAATTCAATTTAAAAATGAGCAGAAGACATGAGCAGACATTTCTCCAAAGAAGACATACAGATGGCCAACAGACATATGAAAAGATGCTCAGCATCCCTCATCATCAGGGAAATGCAAAGCAAAACCACAATGAGATATCACCTCACACTTGTCAGAATGGCTAAAATCAACACAAGAAACAACAAGTGTTGGCAAAAATGTGGAGAAAAAGGAGCCCTCATGCACTCTTGGTGGGAATGCAAACTAGTGTGGCCACTGTGGAAAACAGTATGGATGCTCCTTAAAAAATTAAAAATAGAGTCACCATATGATCCAGTTAATTCCACTACTGGGTTTTTATGCAAAGAAAACAAAAATACTAATCCGAAAAGATATATGCACCCTCATGTTTATTGCAGCATTATTTATACTAGCCATGACATGGAAGCAACCCAAGTGTCCATCGACAGATGAATGGATAAAGAAGATATATATGTGCGTGTGTGTACACACACAGAGGAATATTACTCAGCCATAAAAAGAATGAAATCTTACCATTTGCAACAATACCGATGGATCTAGAAAGTATAATGCTAAATGAAGTAAGTCAGTCAGAAAAAGACAAATATCATATGATTTCACTCATATGTAGAATTTAAGAAAAAACTAACAAAGGAAAAAAAGAGACAACCCCCAAAACAGACTCTTAACCATAGAGAACAAATTGATGGTTACCAGGAGGAGGTTGGTGGGGGAGGGGGGGCGATGGGTGAAACAGGTGAAGGGGGTTAAGAGTACACGTAACAGTAATGAGCACTGAGTAATGTATAGAATTTTTGAATCACTATATTGTACACCTGAAACTAATATAACACTGTATGTTAACAAAACTGAGTTTAAAATAAAAAAAAAACAACCCTGCTAATTAATCCTGAAAAAAATTAACATTTTAAAACTGTGGGACATCCATACCATGGATTGCCCTTCAGGAGCAAAAAGGAATAAATGCTTGATACGCACAATAACATGGATGACACTCAAATGCACCATGCTGAGTGAAAGAAGCCAGATTCAAAAGACGACAGACTTATTTGGGTGCCCAGCAAGTCCCACTGAGCTTGGAAGTCCTTTTGAACATGGGAGTGGACATGGGAGCGGACCGTACCTGATCCTCTCTCGGGTGGAAGGGATGGTCTCATTGTCCTTCTTCCAGTAGAACACGGGCGGCGGCATGCCTATCACCCGGCACTCCAGCCTCACTGGGTGGCCTTCGGGAACTCCGCTGTTCTGCAGTTTCTCCAGAATCACAGGGGCTTTCTTCACCTCTTTGGCTGAATGGGAGAAGGGCCATTCTTGTTTGAATTGTAAGCGCCTTGGGGTTCATGCTTCCAACTCATTACAGTTCTGGAATTTAGCAGAGTGGGTGCCCACCCACCTCACCTCCTCTTCAGAGCACTTCTCACACCTCTAAGGGAAGATCATTGCTTTGATAAAAGCTCCAGAAGTGATGAAAAAAAGGAATGAGGGAACCTCTTTGCATATTGTGTGAGAGACAACACTCCAGGATCTGGGTCGCACACGGGGGGACTCGAATGGTGGGTGTGGAATAACCCACTCCTTAAAAGAGTCTCTTATTCCCAGCAGTAAATTTTGAGAAACAACAGATTTTATGTACTGAACGTACCCTTTTTCTTTTATAGAGGAGTTCATTTTGTAGAAGGTATATTCATTTTCCCTCAACTTTTATTTTTTAAAAGATTTTAATTTAATTTAATTTATTTATTTGAGAGAAAGAGAGTGACAGAGAGAGCACAAGAGTGGGTAGGGTCAGAGGGAGAAGCAGACTCCGTGCCAAGCAGGGAGCCCAATGCGGGACTCGATCCCAGGACTCCGGGATCATGATCTGAGCCGAAGGCGTCGCTTAACCAACTGAGCCACCCGGGTGCCCTTCCCTCAACTTTTATTTCAAAGAAGTTTATAGCTACAGAAAAGAAGTACACTACTTTTTTTTTTTTAGTTTTATTTATTCAAGTAATCTCTACACCCGATGTGGGGCTCGAACTCATGACCCTGAGATCAAGAGTCACACTGTCCTCTGAGCCAGTCAGGTGCCCCAGAAGTACACGACTTAAAAAAAGCAACCCCCCCCCCCACAAATTATGCTTCCTAAGGAAGACTTTTTGCAGGGAGGGCCAGAACCAGATAAGGCAAAGATACCTCATATTTCAGGATTCCAGAATCAATATTTGCAAAATATTGGGGGGAAAAGTAAAAGCTTGCAATCAATATATCCTTGCAGGATGAGCTTTTCCTACTCTGTTGGGTATGAGAAAATTAAGAGTGAGAAAAAGAAAAAGATATATGGGGTGAGCAGCCACCAGCCTATAGAGAGGATAGCATGCCAAAGCCCCCCTGGTTTCCGGTAAGGGTCACACATGGGAGAAAGCTCAGCACTAGAATTCGTATATTCTGAAATCTAATTCTGGCTGGACTACTGGCCTGAGGGCGGGTATCAATCAAGTGATAATGACTTGTCCTTTTTTGTAGCCATTACAGTGTTTTGTTCATGTCGTCTTACAAAGTAGAGGTTCATTTGTTTAGTTATCAACTCAACATTTGTTGAGCACTGTGCATGTTCCAGGCACTGAGTCAGACACTGGAGATACACAGAAAAAGTCAGAATGGCTGACTTTAGAAGCTTTCAGTCTCTTCAGGAAGACAAAGGAGATAATAGTTACACGGAAGGCTGCAAGTGCTCTGGGGAGTCTCTCCTTTTCTAAGTGCTATGAAACAGAGGAGGATGTGCCTTGGTGGTGACATTTGAATTAAGCCTTAGAGAATGAGGGCAAAGAAGGGCATTCCAGGTAGAAGGATCAGTGAAGCAAAAGTATGGAAGCTTGGGGTAGGGGCAAGATCCTGGTGTGTTCCAGTTGTGATGAACTGTAGGGCAAGTGACTTGAATTTAGTGAAGTCAATATACCAATTAATTGATTAATTAACTATTACAATGGCTCCCATTTATTGCATGCATATATGCACCAGATACTACATTATGTTTTTATTGATAGGTCTTTGAAAACAATGTAAGCAATATGGCCTTTACTACAGTGAAGGAGAAACTGAGATGAAACTTGGTGGGGCAAATGGCTAAAGAATTCTGTCAGAAGCTGTGCCTATTTGGGCAATAACTTTAAAGGGAGTTATTCTTGGGGTCCCAGAAGCAAACCTTACCTACTACAGTGAGCTCCAGACTAAAGGAATTCTGTCCGGTTTTGTTGGTAGCAACGCATGTATAGGTCCCCGCGTCATGTTGAGTGAGCGGGTCAATGAGCAGAGAGTGGACTCCAGTCTCCCTGACCAACATCTTGTGCGAGGCATCTGGTAGCACCGGTTGGCCATTGAGCAGCCACGTCAGCTCTGGGGGCGGTAAGCCACTCACCTAATAAACAACAGGACAGCTGAGGCAAATGACAGACCGATGACAGGCAGATTTATTTGGTGGCTGAATTCTTCATCCTTGTCTGGCACCAAATAGATAGAAAAAACATGGGGTGGAGAGAAACCTCTCTGCAGGGTATCAGGATAAGAGGGGCTGGATGAATGGCCGCATTAATTTAAACTGTATCGTATTTTGACCCCAATTGGGGTGATGATTATATTTTAGATTAGAATAAGTAAGAGATAAAAACAAAATGAATAGATAAAATAGACCTGCTGAGTGAGTTTCACAGATGATATGTTGCTTACATACCTGAGAAGCAAGAGGCAACCAAGGAAAGGGCAGACATTAAATTAGAGTTCCCAAATCTTGCTGTGTGTTATAATCGTGTGGGGAGCATTTGAAAATCCCAATGTCTACTTACTATATTAAGTCAGAATCTCTAGGGATGGGACCTGGAATGGGTATATTTTAGGGTTTAGGGTGGAAGAAGTAACAATCAATCCCAAATATTATTTAGGCAGCCATTGGCAGAGCAAGAACCACCTAGAGAAGTGGACTCTATAAATGTTTAACCTCAAGCCTTTACCAATTAGCACCTAAAATTTCCATAACATTCTGCATCTTTGTCTGGAGTAGAAGAGGTGACTTAAGTTTCTCTTCATACTGAGAGATATCCACGCTGCTCAGCTGAACAGTTTCTGGTTGAAGAATTAGGAAGTAGAATAGCTAAAGCTGGTGGATGTTGATTAGTACGAGAAACCAACTTCCGTTTTCATAAACCACCTCAGAGCTATCTTTTCATGACTGAAAATTTTTCAAAGTCTATACATCCCAGAAACTCACTTCCAGGATGCAAAAATCACACTTTTGGCTTCATAGTAATAAAGACTTACTCCGCACCACATGGAAAATGTCTGAATTACATCACTTCTTTGGTTGTCTTTTACGAATGCAGAGTTAACTTGATACAACACCAATGTAATTTTATTAAGGTATAAAGACTTAAAAATTTCATCAAATTCTTTTGTCTGGTATTAATAAATGCTCTGAAGAAGTCTTGTGAGAAAAAAAGTGATCTCTCTCCCTTCCCCAGCCCCCCTTTCTCTAAACAAAACATAAAACAAATACAAACAAAAATAAGTCAAACAAATGCAAAATGTGAACAGATCTGGAGCCAAGGATGAGTATTAGAGTCTACCTTACAGTCCAGCCGACAGAGGCGCCCCTCGTGAGCTACCATATCCCCAGAAGCCTGCAGGAAATGTGGTCGGAAAAACCGTTCCTGTAGGGGCTCTTTGTCTCTTTCTTGTACTCGGGACCTTCCTCTATAAAAACAAGCATGTTCAGGCATTAAACATAGAAACCTAAAACAGCAAGCATTTAGGCATGGCTATAGAGCCTAGAGAACAGATATTTTGGGGGGTGGGTGGGGAAGGAGGTTGCTGGACTATAAACAAATAATAAAATAATAAATAATGGTGTGAAGCATATGTAAAAAGCAAGGTGGTAAGCATCTCATACACTGTAGGATTATCTTATGAGATCTTTAATCAAATAAACAGGCTTTAGCTTCTTTTTCTCTGAAGTCATTCTGGGTTAGGTGGCCCAGCTTACTTGCCTTGGCTTTGACCAGTTGTTCAAAAGTTTCAAGATAAACAAATAAATGAGTATTCAAGCCGAATCTCAAATGAGAGCCAACAGACAAGTCCTGTTTATTACCCAGAACAATGCAGCTGCAATCCCTGTGTCTCTGAGTAATAAAATTTAACCCTGCTATAAATTATGGCAGACCATTAAAGATGATCATGAACTTAAACTGGTTAAGACTGACCAACAGTAACAGCTGTTCTTAAAGAAAAAAAAAAATGAAGAAGAAGGTATAGTTGCAGCAGTGATGAAATACTGTATCTGAAACATGGGTCACTATTTTTGCTCCTTTGGTAAGTCAAATATAATTCATCCATGTCAGCAACTATGGAATGCTTTGCTAAGACTTTGTGGCACCATAAGACTCAAGGGGAAGCCAGGCTCTTAATTCTTAGTGGTTAGTAAAATCAGAGAGGAAGAAAGCCAATTGCTATGTTAGAGGCAATTGTTATACTGGGGACAACAACAACGAAAATATTCAATCTATAGACATATAACCACTAGCAGTTTCTGTTTTATTAAGGAAAATATGGTCATTTAATTCAAAGACTCTGGTTTATATATTATCTGCACAGGTACTACTGAGGGTTACAAATTTTGAGCCATTAAGAGTGTGCAACAGACCAGTGCATCTCAAAGTTAATGTGCTTATGAGTCACCTAGGGATCTTATTAAGATGTACTTTTTGATTCAGTAGGTCTGGGGTAGGGCTTGGGATTCCACATTTGCAACAAGCTCCCAAGGGAGGCTGATGCTGCAGGTGCAAGACTACACCTTAAGAACAATGTGTAGACCCAACACTTTGATGCTTAGTGTGGTAGGTGGATGCTTGGGAGTGGCTAGAGAAGGGAGATTCTTACTGTTTTTACCTGTGAGACTGACCAGTGGATATTAGTCGACTGCGAATGGGCAAACTTTGTACCATCAAGTGGCCAGAACAGCTGATTCTCCCCTGAGAAACAAAAATGAATTAAAAATAAGAGAATTCTCCATTTTTTTTCAATTTATGTAAATTTTTCTGGACTGGAACAGTTTTGAACTTTTTGGCTAAATATTATGAGGGGGGGGAATGAAAACAATAAAATATGACTCCTTAGATCACTGTTAATATTCTAGGGGGGAATTTAAAGAATATTGTGATGACTTTCACTTTGAGCTGAGAAATGAACAGAGCACAAATGTAAAAAAAAATTTGAATTCTGGTGCAGCCACATGCAGAGACTATGGCCAAGTATTTTATACTTTTCTTAATAGAGATTTATCCTCAAAACTAACATTTTATTAAGGAGAGTGGGTGAGAGTAGAAATTATAGTTCTATATTTTGTATTCTAATAGTAGTTGAAGATATTTGTTCTGCCGTATCTTTTAGGGGAATTTTAAGTCTTGATCCTTGATCTTATTCAGAAAAGAAAAGTGAAAGTTTATGGCTTTCCAACTTTTACCAAAAAAAAAAAAAAAGGGGACATTATGGATTTGAGGAATGTTTACAAGCCTTTTTGGAGTAATTTGCTTATTCTCTAAAGAACAAAAACAACATATCATTCTTTGATAGGATGATTTACAGACTCTTCAAGAGAGTCAATGAGTTGATAAACATAAGGTGTAGCCTAATACATCTGGGACATAGTGAAGAGATACTACTAAAGTCCTTTGACAAACGCTCAAGGCTTGAGTGAGCCATCAATGGCTAACTGGTCTTTTAAGCTGTGATACTGCGCTCTAGTTAACACACAATCACAATGCTTCTCATTCATTTTCCTCAGCAATCCTTAGCAACTCGCACTTCTCAAGGTCTCATTCACAATGACATCAAGTGCTCCTTCCTCAGAGTGCAGCACAGCGCAGAACCCTGCTTCTCCACCTGGGGGTTGGCAGCCATGATAGTGTAGTTGCCATCGTCATCACTGGTGGTGGAGTCAATGTGCAGAGAGCATGTCCCATCTCCTTCTCGCCTCATTTTGCAGTGCTCATTTCTCTTTGAAATCTGCTTCCCATCTTTGAACCAGTAAACCTGCAATGAAAGATAATCAAGGAGAACATACACTGTTCTGCACATCTTTTGAGGATAATGAAGTAGGGAGTAGGTTGAAGCAAGGGCTGATTGCCATCTCTACAAGTGCCCCATCCCTTATAAAGCACTTCGAAAAAAGTATTTTAAAAATGACTGTAGGGATGCCTGGGTGGCTCAGTCGGTCAAGTGTCTGCCTTCAGCTCAGGTCATGATCCCAGGGTCCTGGGACTGAGCCCCGCATCGGGCTCCATGCTCAGCGGGAAGCCTGCTTCTCCCTCTCCCACTCCCCCTGCTTGTGTTCCCTCTCTCGCTGTCTCTCTCTCTGTCAAATAAATAAATAAAATCTTTTTAAAAAAATGACTGTATAACATGCTCCTATGCTTGTACATATACAATACTTAAGTCAAAAATTCTGTATAATTTAGGATTGAGATAAAGCTTTTGACTCTTTTTATTGTACTTCATAATTACTTAAAAAGTCACCCCAAGGACCGGACATGTTTTCAGAGGCAAAATAATGAAAACCAGGAGCCTGAATTTTTTTCCCATTATCCTATCTATAAGCTCAAGTCTTCTGCAGTCCACAGATCTCAGGGTCCACAATAGCTCACCCTACTTGAAAGGATAGTATGGTTTATTATCCATAAGGAGGCCAGGATTCACTTGCGAAATTTCTCATCTGGCGAACATTTAAATAAATAGGTTTTTCATGTTGAGTTCTGCATGTGTCAAGGAGATCTCTCAAAGAGGGGGGGTTAAAGTACTGACTGCAGCTGTTCTCCACATTTCCTGGTTACCTAACCATACATGATAACACCATGCTAATGTTTGTGAAAGTAGAGCGGAGAGATCCCCTACCACAGCCATACTGGGTGTAAATCCTTCTTTCAGCTGACTGCCAAAAAAATCTGGTGACTCATAAGATTTTTCTGCAGCCAGTGATAACGATATGACATTTTCAGCATAGACCAACCTACTAGTAATGATACAAATATAGCTCACTTTGTGCAACAACAGGCACTTTGTGGGTATTCAATAAGTGTTAAAGAGAAAGAATATCAATTTGGTGAGTTTGGTGGTTGAGAGAATCAATAGCCCAAAATGGAGGATTATGACTAAGAAGTCTATTTTAAACTTTTATTAAAATTCTAACTTACCCATAAGTCTGATTTATTTTGGGCCTGATTATTTAATGGTCCTATCCCTGACAGTCTCTTTTTAGTAAAATTATCTGGGCTTTGTTCGTTTTTCTGGTAGTGGTTTTTATTCCCTCTGTAGACACATCCCTAGAATCTGATAAGACTTTCTTGAAGGCATTGTCTACAGTTCTGTGTTGTTGGTTGGTTGCCCATTCGGCTGGTCATCTTCCCCTACCTTTGGAACAGGAATCCCAACAATTTTGCAGGTAAATGTCACTGGAGAGCCTTCTGTAACCCGGAAATGCTTGAGTCTTTTGTCAAAGATGGGAGCAATACACTTGCCCGTGGGGATCTCGTCATGTTGGACTTCATCATCTGACTCATCAACAGGGGTACGTTCCAAGCGAAACTCTATTTCATTCATCAGCCTCTGCTCAAAGCTTGAAATTTTGTACTCCTGTCAAAATGGCAAACATGTTTCAATTTCAATTCTATGGGTGAGAAAGAAGAAGGTGTCTATCAATATAATTTGAGGATGGAACTTTTTAGATTTAGATGGTAAATATATATCATGGAAACCCAATAAACCAGGCATGTTCCATTTCCAGTTCCTCACCATGGAGCACTAAAGGAGATGCCAATGTCTCTACTATAATCCCAAACTGCCTTAGTGAATCCTGATTCCTCACCTTGAGTATGGAGCCCCAGTAGCATCCTGTAGAGAAATGAAGATGGAATGTGATTTCCATTACTACTATTAATGTCCATTTCAATATGTAGAACTTCCTATCTGGTAATATGGCAAAACTATTCTGAATTGCATTCTGATGCATGCCTGCATTACCAGCTTCCTGTCTCTACCGGACATTCCCATCTGCATACTTGATGAAATCTGTCTTGAATAAATCTCCCTCGACTCCATATCCATCTTCATTGCATCCCTCTACTCCCACCACAACAAAACTAGTTGAAATATTTTTGTATTGTTATGGGATCATTTGCTTGTCACCCACTCTTTCACTAATGGACTCCAATTAGGCTTGTGTTCTCACTGTCCCACTGAGATTACTATTGTCAGGGTCTCCAAATTTGCCAAAGCCAGTTGTCACTTATCTGTTCTTACCTTACCGGATATCTCAGCAGCATTAGACAAGGATGGCTACTTTCTCCTTTTTGAAACATTTTCTTCTGTTTGCTTTCATGATACCATATTGGTTTTCCTTCTCTTTCTTTAGTTGCTGCTTATCAGTCTCCTTTGCTAGCTCCTAGTCCTAGGTAAGTGGTTTCAACCCAACCTACAGCTTCAGATACCTTCTGTATGCTGATGACTCCAAATACATATCTTCAAGCCTGATCTTTCCACAAAACTCATATACCCGATGACCTACTGTACATCATGCAAGTCATATACCCAGTGACTGATTCTATATCATGGCTTGGGCACCCAATGGGCACCTCAAACTTAGCATGATCCAAACAACACACACTTGATTTCTGTCTCCCAGAGATGCTCCTACCCTGCTCTTCCCCATCTCAGAGAATGGTGCCACTATTCACCCACTTGGTTAAGTAGTTAAGCCAGTGTTTCTTGCACTATCTTTGGTGAAAACCAGGTTTTAAAATTTTTCCAATGTGTAGTTTTGTAAAGTGAAATAAAAATGAATGAGTAGCAAAATGAAATTTAGGAGGCATGCAGAATTATTATATTCAATAGGCATAAATTTTTTCTGTCAAATTGCTATAAAAATTTCTTAATGGTTACTCTCCGTTTCTGTGCTTATGCCAAGGTGGATGGGTGATAGTTTGCAGATTGCCACACGTCCTCGGACCACACTTTGAGTGTACCAAGTTAAACCCTAAATCTAGGACTTATCCTGAATTCCTGTCACTCTCTCTCCCTGCCGAATTCTATCAAGCTTATATGTCACCTCCCCAAAGTAGCCTTCCCAGGCCACTTCATGTAAATGAACTCCCCATTCTAATACTCTACACAGTACCAGTTGCTATCTAGTATATTTCTTGTTTGTTTGTTTATTGATTGAGTGATTGAATATCTCTAAGGATTAGAATGTTGGCTCCACAAGAGCTGAGAGCTTCTTTATCTTGCTTCTCACTATATCAACAGCACCTGGAATAGTGTCTGCCTCATGGCAGGTGCTCAATGAGTATCTGAAGAATGAGTGAAGACATAGATGACATGGGGGCAATCACTTGTTCCAACTGCATCTTTGAGGACTTCAGAGCCATGGCTTTGGGCTGAGGTAAGACCTTCTGTTAAGCTTGTGACTCTAGTTAACCACAGTTTCATAATTTAGATGAGCTCCATGGAGATGGCACTAGGATGTTCCTGAAATAGAATTTGGAAGCACGTGGCTGATATACATCTGTCCCAGTCTTAGGCAGAGTGAGTTCAGGACTCATAAGATGTATTCTCAAGCTATTAAATCACATTACTCGTGTCCTTTAGTTATTGTCTTACACATATTATCACCTGAATTTGTGTAGAATTGGAACTTATGAAACACGGAAATACAGAAATCAGATGTTTCTTGGTTTCAATTTCTTGAAAACAATTTTAAATCCTCTTGTCTTGGCCACATCTCATACTGGGTAAGCAAAATAAATCCACAGCTCTTTCAGGGTAGAGAAAATGATTAATCTCCAGTTACCTTATTATTATTATTATTTTAGATTTTATTTATTTATTCATGAGAGACAGAGAGAGAGAGAGGCAGAGGCAGAGGGAGAAGCAGGCTCCCCGAGGAACAGGGAGCCCGATGCGGGACTCAATCCCAGGACCCTGGGATCATGACCTGAGCCAAAGGCAGATGCTTAACCGATTGAGCCACCCAGGTGTCCCTGTTACCTTATTATTATTATGTTTTTTTACCTTATTATTTTTAATCAGATAATTAAAACCAGTTAAAGTAAAAAATTGTTCACTTCTATTAATCTGAAACCTAGTTTAAAAGTATTAAGAAACCTAGTTTAAAAGTATTAAGACTATTTTCTACATTATAGGAGTTTTTAAAAAGTTAATCATTAGGGGCGCCTGGGTGGCTCAGTTGGTTAAGCGACTGTCTTCGGCTCAGGTCATGATCCTGGAGTCCCGGGATCAAGTCCCACATCAGGCTCCCTGCTCAGCAGGGAGTCTGCTTCTCCCTCTGACCCTCTCCCCTCTCATGTGCTCTCTCTCTCTCATTCTCTCTCTTTCAAATAAATAAATAAAATCTTTAAAAAAAGTTAATCATTAAAGCTTCCAACTATCTACCTATTAGGTTGAATTAAACGAAACTGACATTTTTGTAGGTCAAAAATGTAGACTTTCATATGATTCAATTTAATACTTAACAATGACTATATTTTTCCTTACATACATTAAATGCTCCCCCAAATTTGAAATATTTCTTAGTCTCGCCAGTTTAAAATCACATGAAGAGTATATATTTCTTCTTTCTTGAATTGCATTTATGCTTTTGAATATATACTATTTTTCTCTTTAACACATTTGTTTATTTTCCTGGATATTTAGGAGTAAAACCAATGAGTCATTTTATTCCCTTACCATATGAGGTAGGTATTAAATAGAAGCTCTATTATTTTAAAAATTACGTCCAAACAGAAAAATTCACACAGTTCTCAAACCTCATACACATATCCTAGGGGTTTAGGAAATACCAGAGTTTTTTGTGAGGGTGGCAGGAGGTCTTAGCCTTTTACAGCTTCTCATCTTGTTTCATTTAAGTCCCCAAATTCCTAGTCCATTCCATACCAACTCTAGCCATTGTTTTAATGGAGTCCTTGCTCTAAATTAAAGAGTCTTCCCTGAAGCTTCTCCTATTGCCTGACCTGTAAGGGCTGTAACCTCCTGGCTAAATACCTTGTCAGAGTTATTGTAGGGAAAGATGAATTCCTGAAATTCTATTTTGAAAGTATGAAGTAATTTTCCCAAAGAAGTATTTTGTACATAGTGGTAAGTTATGATTATACCTAACCTTCAGGAACACAGTGAATGATATATATGAGGGCCATAAGTGCCTGCCTGAGAATACAAATACCACATTGTCTCCATATATTCCAAACTGGATTTTACCAAGTTGGGGCCTGATTTTACAGAATTTATCAATGTTTGAATTGATTTGATCCAAGGAACTACAGAAGCAAGATGATGAAAATATGCACATTTTGTTTTACTATAAATGTATGCATATTGGTTATACATTTATTACTTTATTAGTACGACAAATTGGGAGGTGATGGAAACAGAACACTCAATGAGTTATTTAAAAAATACTACTCATAACTAGGTACTGAGGATACAGTTGCAACCAGATCTTTTTTTTTTTAAAGATTTTATTTATTTATTTGAGACCGAGAGAATGAGAGAGACAGAGAGCACATGAGAGGGGGAGGGTCAGAGGGAGAAGCAGACTCCCTGCCGAGCAGGGAGCCCGATGCGGGACTCGATCCCGTGACTCGATCCCGTGACTCCAGGATCATGACCTGAGCCGAAGGCAGTCGCTTAACCAACTGAGCCACCCAGGCGCCCCAGTTGCAACCAGATCTTAACTGGAAGTTTTTATTGAAGCACTAAGATGGGCTAGATATCAGAAAACAAGTGAATTGGCAGACAATTTCAAAGCAGGTGCTTACAGACAGGCTAGACCATTTAAAGCCCTCACCTTCACCAGAGATACAAAGGAGTGAGGGGGGAGAAGCTCCAGTGAGAGGACGTTGGAGAGAGCTATTGTGTCTCTGCATCTCCTACCTCCCCCTCTACCCCAAGGGCACCTGCCTTCACTTCAAGCTCAGCGACGGAGATTAAATGGACTCATTTGGAGAGCTTGCTTTGTTTTCTGCAGTGGGTTAGTATCTGACTCCTGCCTAAAAAAGCTGGAGTGAGGAGTGAGGCAGCTTTTTGTCAGTGGGCAAGCTGAAGGCTACTTTGACTAGCCTTCACGCCTGCACTGTGTCAGGGCAGCGGACCCGTGATGGGTCCCGTCAGGCACACGTGGGCCACATACAACACTAAGCCACTGTGGGGTCAGCTTTCATCTCTCCATGGATGGGAAAGGGAGTGAGGACAGTTAGTAAAGTGGGGGAGGAGGGAGCAAAAAAAGAGAGCAGCTGGCCACACTTCCCTTCCTGGCTTTAGGTTCACCATTTGTAGCAGTCCCTGCGCTGTGGGGTGTGGATAGGGGTGTTCGTGTGTGGGGTCTTATTTTTGAATAAGGAAATTTTGTACTACTGGATCAAGAGTGTATTTTGCAACAAAGTTACCACAGAACCTTAAAGGTACTAAATGTGGCCAAAACTGTTTTGAGATTGCCTTATAGTTGAGATTGCCAGGAGCAGGAGAAGAAATAGTCCCACAGAATAAATTCAAAGGGATACTGGGAGAAAAAAAAAATTCTTTTTAGACATATTTGTTTAATGTACCATGTATATAATGTGTAAATTACAAATGAGCAACAAAATAAGAATACTGTAGATCAAGGAATTTCCATGAAAGATTTCATAAATATTTTGGAAATCGGAAACAGGAACAAGGAAGCCATGCAGTTGTGTGGCAGGGTATGTGGCTTGTTGCTAAAGCACTGAATCTTTACTTCTGAGCTGTTACTGAAGATGTATACCATCCCCAAAGCAGAAACTGACGTCTTTTTGTAGTGTTTTGAAACTAAGAGTTGGTTATCCCAAGGATAACTACCCCGATTACACGTCAGTCAAGATTTTCATTCCAAGTTATGACTGATGAGACTCAGATTTTGTAAAGAAATTTGCAAACAAAAGCAATAAGTTTACGTTAAATGTAGGTGCTTTCTGCACTGTTCTGTACAAAGGCTGTACTACATACAGATCCACTGTTGGTAGACACAGGCTTTGAATTTCCAGGACTGAATTTATGTTGCATTCTCCATTTCCCCTTGCCTTGCCCCTTTGTGAGTAAAAGCAGCAGTTTCTGCATTAGCTGCTTGTAAGTGATGTCTGTGCTCAAAGGAGAGAATGTTTTTCTGTGTGAAGCTGACATTCAGTTAACACCAGAGTTTTGCTTAATTTCAGTGTTTTCATCTTTTTAATCTATTGATTGAAGTGGATTATTGTCATAAGGTAGTATCCTCAATTAGGCATAATCAGAATCTATATAGTCAAGTGAGGTATTTTCCATAGATAGGCCACAGATCCAACATTTTCTATTTGGTCAAAAGTTTCATTATCTTATCTGAAACTAATGTAAATCCCATAGCCGTGTGCTAATTCAGGAAATATTATTCATGGAGTACCTATTCTGTGCCAGACACAATGGGGTGCGGCAATGATTAAGACATCCACGGATCCCATCTCCCATGGAGACTGTGACTGGTGCATTCTGGTTGGGTCCACAGCCGATAACACAGGGACACTTCACTATCCCAAGGTTCTACTGTGCTCAAAGTAAGCAACCTAAGGTCAATGGCTGTGTGGAATTCTCATTAGAAAAGGAATGGATGGCAAGACTCACAAAATAGGATTTTCATAAAGAGTTCATAGTAAGAGATTAAAGAGGTATGCTTTAGATAGAAGAAATGACTAAGCAGCTTACAGAAGAAGATTAGAGGAACAAAAAGCATAGCAAGAATTAGGTGCATATTTTTTTTTCTTTTGTCATACATAGCAGTATCTGGGAACCACAGACAATTTTAAAGAAGCATTAATTTAAAAAAGTATGTTGGAGGTGGGGAGCAGAATAAAGAGATGGGAAGGTTTCCAGAGAAATGAGGTCAAGGAGGAAAGCTGAAATAAGACACTGTGTGTGTGTGTGTGTTTAGAAATTAACAGCCACCAAATAGTTACTGGGTGTAGAAATCATGTTAAGTCATGTGTGAATTAAAATCATTGGTCATGAAACCTTCATTATTACATTTTGTGATCCTGGGTTGCTCTGACCTCTCAGATTCACCTTGCTATCCTAAACCATTTAAGTTTTATTGATGTTCACTGCAGATTCACTGGTGGTGAACGATACCCTTCAAAATAAGAAATGATACAGCCTAAAATCTAGAAGCTGGGCACCTCTCTTGGTTTATCCCCAACTCAAAGAAACTTCACTATCAGTTTAGAAAGCTAACCATTTTAATAAATATGAACATCTGAAAGGATGACACCTTTGTGTCACACAATGTTCTAAGAATCAACAAGCAAACGTTAATTGCTATTTAGAAAGGTTATATAAAATGAGGTAGAAAGTAAATGCTGAAATATTACAATAGGGAAATACAAAGTGGTAGATATGTCAAAGAAAATCCATTTTCCAAAACATTAATTTAGGGGTTTGAGTTCTGGGGAGGAAATTGTCTATAGTCAATATTCATTGTTCAAGGACCTCTGATTTATTTTCATGCTCAGCATAATGGGATAAGGCTAGCCCACATACATGTTCTAAGAGGTTGCTGTTCTTCATTGGCTAGGAATAAAACAGGGTCAGAGAGTCCAGCTTTTGGACCTAAAAGTTTTCAAAGCAAAATAAAACAACAACAAATCTTCAGAAGAAATCATATGCTTCCCCCTCATATGGGCAGCCTAATATGGGAATGAGAAAACTGATCATTTTGATTCCTGTGTCTCCAAACTGCAGATATAGATGACTATCAATATACAAGTGTTTCTTTATGATTGCTTTTCCACTTTCCCAAGCAAATTTTCTTCTTCTAACGTCACCAACAGGCCACAATACATTTTAGACAGTGCTTCGCAACATCTTCACTATCATTTCCCAAGGCAACAATGACAAAGCAGTATTATAATGTGGTCATCATTTTATTCCTCAAAACTTAATCAGAATCAACATCTACCAACCTAATGCAAAGTTTCCATCTTAGTATCCTGAATTGCATTTATACAGCTTGGTTTTCTTATCCATGGCATAGAACTCCGTCTAGAACCAATTCTGTAACTAAACTACCATAGCAATTCTCAGAATAATGATTCTCAGAAGAACATTGATGCATGTCACAGATATTCAGATGGAGAGTATGGAGATGCTTTTTGAAACTGATCCTAGGCCTTGCTATTAGCCCTGGAGCTAATAATGAGCTCTATCAGGTTTGTGACACTCAACTCATAGAAGTTCATGTTCATGTATACTCACATTTCAACTAATTAGGAGAAAAACCCAACTTTGCCATGAATTGGGCGGGGATTAGCATCGATCTACCTACAGAGTAACTATGAAAGTGACATCACACAGCTTGTGTGCTGACCTGGTATTTATTTTTACAGGGTTCTAATTGCTCCCTCTCTGAGTTGCAAAAGACATAGGCTGAACACAGCTCTGATTTCAGTGACACTTAGAAGGATTAACAACCACAAATGTGATGACAGTATTATAGGAAAGCAAATCTGCATCAGACAGAGCAATATTTATGGGGACTTAAAGGTAATTGTCATAAACTGACAAAGACTTCACAGTTTCAGGGAATATGTGAAGTGTCCTGGAGACTAGGGCTCTAGTTCTAGTTCCACCACTGACAGTTTGACAACTGTGCCCCCATTTCTCGGTTTCTAGAAGATGGAAGGGAGAAGAATAGTTGCCTTGGCATTTGCCTCCCAGAAATGTATGTAACTTGGTGAAATAATATGTGAAAAGTGTCCTCAGTTATAACAAGCTTAAATGTTCTTCTTCAGTTCAACAATTTAAAGTCAATTTTAAGATTTTAAGCAGCAGATTTTCAAAAGAACCTACTTAGTAAAAATTGCCCAACATATCGCACAGTTGTAAAATACTGTATATCCATGTCTCCACTGGAGGTAAAAGACAGAAACAAAGGAAAACAGCATATGGTCAGGGAAATCTGGAGCCTTGTTTCCAGGGATCACTTATGCTACAAATTCCACAATATTTGGCATGTAATTTTGACTGAAATCTTATGTTATGTTTCAAAATAGATTTTTTATCAGTTCCCACCGTGGGAAATAAACCAAGAGTTAGGTTATTAAAATGTAAACCGACGTTTACAAAATAACCACGTTATGAAACGCAAAAACAAATGGCTCAAATAACAAAATACTCAGTTTATTTTTCTTTTATTTGATGCTCACCCATGGCTTTCCTTTTTCTCTTTCAGTGTGAACACTTACTAGTAAGTAAGGAGTTGTATGGGTTGAACCACAGGATATTGACTATTGATGGCTCTTTCACATGATTCAAGCTAATGTAAAGATTGGGAGGAACTGGTGAACAGACTTCTAGCACATTAGATTGTAGGAGTCAGATAAAGGACAGCGTGGTGTCCCAGAGTTCCTTTAAGTCTAGATCTTCTCATATATTGCAGTATTTCAAAGATGCGATGGTGTTTGCCTATACTGAGCTGAGGATTGCTGGAATTGCCAACATACTAGCTAGTCCCTCTCTTTCTCTAACATATTCCATTCTATGTAAATGCATATAAACAGTTAAATTGAATTAACTACTGGGGTAATCAAGAACTGTAGATCCATGTGGATGAGTTTCCTATATGACCCTTGGTTAATCTATACTCTATCTTCTAAGACTGCAGGGTCAGGCTCACTGAAGTCTGGTGACTTGACCATCCAAGGACTAAATTAAGTGAAATGATATTTCTTATTATGAAATTCCAATAAACCATTTGAGTGCAACAATCTTACCTGCTGGTTTGATCTGACATCACTGAAATTCATTTTCTTCCCCAAGTCTAGAATCACCGCATTCTTAGTTTCACGAACGTAATCATCATTCAGCAGTTGAGGAGACTTTGTGTTTTTCTTCATTAGTCCCTGGGATGGCCTGTAAAATAAATTCACACCTGACACACCCATGAGAAACCCTTGCCAGTGTCCGAAAGCCTAGAAATCAGAGTGGCTGAAATGATGGTCAGACACCAGGAGTCATCGGGCACTTAGGGAGGGCATCTGGTGTACCACAGTTGAGCACTGCACAGAGAATCTGTGTTTGTAGAGGTGTTTTCAATATTTAAATTATTAAAAATTATTTAAAGTAATCATGCCCTTCACCGTAAGGTGTTCAATATCCGTTTAGTGCCTAAGAGATAGGATTATCTAGGAATCCACTAAATGAGAGTCCTATTCCAGACCAAGCTATTCCATGCATATGTCGTTTCTTAAGTGACAACTTTTTCTTGAGAAATCTTAATGACACTTACACGGATGGTGCGCTTCTGGGCAGCCCCATGGCATTGGTGGGTGGGATGGCGGGGAGAGAAGGAAGAACGGAGCTGAGGAAAGCCACTGGGTTCTGAATCCGGCTGGTGGGAGAGACAGGAGCTGGGGAAACACAGCGGGGCTGAAACTGGTTTCCACTGGAGATGGCAAATGTGAGTGGCGATGGCGCTGGCTCTGCTGGAGCTGGAGGGGGTGGCTCGTTTTGGAAGGAAACTCCTCCTAGAGACTTGTTTTGCACGGAGGGGTGGGAAACTAAGAGGCTCTCTTTGCTCACTGTCCTCTGAATGGTTTGAGGAGTGCTGCTCAGGGTGAACACTGGAGAGCTGCAAGGGGACACGGTTGCTGCGGTTGTATTTGAAGAGGGGAAGAAATGCTTTGGCCGGGCCAAGCTGAACGTCTGTGATGAAGGGGCCTTCACCTGCTTGCTGGACATTGTCACTGCCGGGGAAGCAGTGGCGTTCAAAACACTCATGTTGAAAGGAAACTCCTTGGGAGAGGAAGGAGATGGGTTTTGCAACTGCTGTTGTTCCAGTAAGACTTGGTTGTGAAGCTGTTGCAGCTGACTGGAATCACTGCACACAAGAGTGGGGAGAGAGAAGGGAAATCTGTCACCATCGAGCTCACCCAGCAGAAAATGTATGACAGGCTGTTTACAGTTCTATGCTGATTCAGAACACACGACCAGGGTTGCCAGAAATGAGCCAATCAATTCCTTGTGAGCTGTTTCTCCTTTCTAAATCTGATTTATTGTTGGGAAGAAGGGGGAAAAGCCACCACAATGCACAACTCCAAAAGGCATCGTTCACATGGTATTCTTTGTGTTGTGACCCTGAAACATGGCAGCACAATTTTAGAATGTTTATGAATTAGAAAAAAGAAATAGAAACCATGGTCCTCTGTTGGGAATGCCTAAAGTTCTGATAGGAGCCGGCTGTATCTCAGCTTTGGGCCAGAAGGCAGTGAGCTACAGACTGATGTAAGTAACTGAAGGCGTTGTAGTCTTCATTCTGTAAAGCAAACCTTAATAAAACCCCTGGATGTGTCTTGGTATTTCTCATCCTCTCTCGACAACAACGCATTATAGATAAGGTGACCATATGTCTCAATACATCCTGGGCAGTCTTGGTTTATGCCTGTTTTCCTGGCATAATTATCAATACTACTCTTTTACTCTCAAAAATGTCATGGTTTGATTGGTAGATTATATGGCCATCACAATTAGAAACATTGCCTTAGACTTTTCTTGTTCCTAAGAGGACAAAGAAGATCAAGCTGGGAGTACTTTCTTTTTTTGTACGAAGCTGAGTCACAGAAGCATTATATGATTTGCCCACAGTCTATTTAATTTATCTTAACAAAATGATTAATTATAATGGGGCGCCTGGGTGGCTCAGTCGTTAAGCGTTTGCCTTCGGCTCAGGTCATGGTCCCAGGGTCCTGGCATCAGGTTCCCTGCTCTGCGGGAAGCCTGCTTCTCCCCCTCCCACTCTCCCTGCTTGTGTTCCCTCTCTTGTTGTGTCTCTCTCTGTCAAATAAATAAATAAAATCTTTTAAAAAATAATTAATTTTTTAAAAAAAGATTTATTTATTTGAGAGTAAGAGAGAGAGCATGTGAGCACAGGAGAAGGGGCAGAAGGAGAAGGAGAGGGAGCGAGCTCAGAGTGAGCCAGATGCAGGGATCAATCCCATGATCCCAAGATCTCGACCTCTGTCAAAATCAAGAGTCAGACGCTCAACTGACTGAGCCACCCAGGTGCTCCTGGTGACTTATTTTTTAAGAAAGAAAATGGAAAATGAGAATCTCTAAAAAGCTTATGTGCATAAAGTTGTCAATGCTGCTAAACTTTGCTGTTTAGAAGAATTTACTCTCACATGAGTAACTACAGGAAAATCCACAAGGAAGACTGTGGTGTTTCAAGCTATGAAGGTTTTATGTTCTTCGGAAACATAGGATGCTTCTGGAACATAGAAGGTGATCTGCTGAACATGAGATCTATTAAAAATGAAAGCTTCAGTATTTTCATAGCATTAGGAAAGTCAACACCAATGGTAATAAAGTTGAACCAGGAGGTTCTCCAAACCTTGATTTTTCTTAATTCTGGGAGTTTAAGGCCTTTCTCCTTTCATTAACACTTCTGATACATGATATATGGAAAAGTAACTTCACAAAACAGAGTCCCATCTGTTGTCAAATGGCTATATAATATGCAATCCTTCTTTGTTCATCGATGAAAATTCTTGTTTTGAGTTAAACTAAGAATTTGGAAGCATTAGCCACTTGGTACAGTAACTTTCCTAGAAGTGTTTAAGCTGAGAGAATAAAGTAATATAATTAAAGATTAATTAAACCTTTTAGTTTCATCATGGATGAAAGATTGAGCAATCAAGAGAAGCAGAAATATCTTTGTTAGATTATCCTTAGAAAAATATAAAATATATACAATTAATACTGTTTCTGTTAGGATTAACTTTCCCAACGGCATGAAAATACAAAAATCTTTAGATTTTAATGGATTTCATAATTGTCAGGTTACATTCTGTGGTTGCTATAGCCTGAAGACAATGCTATGCAATTTTCAGGACATCTCTGTACAGAGTAGTCTACACAAATTTTAGTCTTATGATTTTGCAGAAATATTTTCTTGTGGCTATGGAAATAAAAAAAGTAGTATATGACAAGTAAGTAATCTTAGAAAGATAAGGATGATAAAAAGGGGCAGGAAGTCATTTGGTATTGGTTAATTCTTATTTTCCTTTAGTTCCCATTGAATAAAAACCTCAGAACTAGCTTTTTACTTTAAGACTTCCAATGGCATGTTAGCCCTTATCATTCAATGCAGTATATTGGATTAGAGAGGGTTACAAACTGTAAACATAATGATATGTGAGATACAGTGTCAAATTGTCTTGATTATCCAAGTTTCCGTAAGAATTCATTTGAGAATAATATCTCTTTTTGTTTGAACAAGGTTGTTTTTTGTTTGTTTGTTTGTTTCTCATTTTATCAGTTTTGTTTCGGAAGGGATTTAAAACAGCAGTTTGGATTCGCTTATTCATCACATCAGGTGTCAATTCCATTATTCGACAAACTTTATTGAATCTTCTGTGTTTACTTTGCTAGGCACTCTAGGATATATATATATATATATATATATCTGAGATAGTACAAGCTATTCAGGGCTCAAAAATCTTACTATACATACATACATACAACATGAATAACCACCGGTTATTTAAGAGAACATGTGGAACTTACTTACTGCTTTAATAATGAAGTTACAAAGGGCAATGAAAGAATAAAGGAAGAGAAAATTAATTACAAAGGCTACTAGTTCTAAAATCCCCAGTAACATCTCTAATTCAAAGTAACAGCCTGTCATAAATTGCTATAAGCTCAGCTGCTCTTTTCTTGTTGCCATGAGGATTTCTCAAATCAGGTTTATACCCAAGCTTTCTTTTATCAGCTTTCAAGCTGACATCAAGCTTTCTTTTACCCAGGCAGATTTATCAGCTCTCTTGGGTTACCTGAATATATCTTCTCCTTTGCCACAACACATAATTTAAGCATGATGCTCAAGAATATGGTTTGTGCAGACAGACAGACTTAAGTCCTAATCCTGGCTCTGCCACTCATTGTTTGTGTGGCTTTGGGTAGTTTCTAGACTTTTTCTGACCCTGATTGCCTCATAAATAAAATAGGAATAAGTAGTATCTCAACATTGTTGTGAGAATTGATCAAATCACCTAAAACATGTGAGTCATCAATAAATGGTGGCTATTTTATCTTTAGTTTTGAACTACAAATATCAATTTCAAGATTTGTAAGAATGAAAATTAAGAGTTTCAGAATAATAAGGGTGCTTCTTGTGGAATTTCTTAGGGATTTTGAACTGTTGAGATAAAAGGCTTAGTGACAAAAACAACAAAACAAAATGGTGTATCAAGTACTTTTGAAAGCAGTTTTGGCAACAAAAATTTGGGGTAGTGTGTGCTGGAGCCAGCTCTCGATTGTTCTGGAGAGCCGACTGTGCACATCTCATTCCAATTCCCAGTCCAATGACCTTTCTTTAGTAACTTGAAATAGAACACGGTGGGAGAAAATTGGCAAATGCTACAAATCAGGGCTTCCCCGTCTCTACCCGTTGTTAAAACATCTGCCAGCACATCACTGATTAGGATAACTAATTCTAAATACGTCTCTGCAATTGGCTTCTAGCTGTGGTTTTAACAGGGGCTACCATGCTGGCTGCACGTTAAAATCACCCACAGAGCATAAAAGACAAACAAACCTCAGTGATTTAGGCACCATTGTCCAGAGAGTCAAGTGGCCTGGGAAAAGATCCAGGCTTAGTTACTATTTTCTTTTAAAAAGTAGGGCAGTGGTTCTTAAACTTTAGTGAGCCTCAGAAGCCTCTGGAGGCAGGTTCCCATTCCTGCCTATTTCCCTTTTGCCCTCCCCGCCTCCACCCCCAGCTTCGGATTCAAGTCTGGAGTGGGGCCTGAGAATCTGCATTTCTATCAAGCTCCCAGGTGATGCCAGTGCCGTGAATAGCAAGGCTCTAGGTGGTTTTCGCATGCATCTGGGACTGAGAACCTCTGCTCTAAAGAAACACTTGTCCCCAGAACAGGCTTTCCCAGTACATGCTGATTTTTGTCTGACGTTTTCCCCACTTTAAATGTTAATTATTGTGTTCTCCTGGGTGTGCAGGGGTGTGTGTATGGGGTGGGGTGGAATGATGAAGTGTTGCAACCCAGACTTTCCAACTTTAGACCAGTAGTTTCCAAACTGGCTGAATGTTAAAATAATCTGTGGAGGGATTCTGATTCAATTGCGATGGAAGGCATAAATATTTCTTAAAAGCTCTACATTTTAGTAAAGAGTGTAGCCAGGATGAAGAATCACTGCTCTAGACAATCTTGAAATTCAGGTTGAAAATCTCAAAGTCTGAATTATCTAGGCTTTGATGATACAATGTTTAAAAAGGACAGTTTCTCTTTCTGTTGCAGTTTTAAGATCTGTAAGAATTATGTCTATTTTCCGTATGAGTGGCAAATTGAAGGAACGAGCAGAAAAGTGTATCCTCAAGAAGATTATCCAGGGGCACCTGGGTGGCTCAGTTGGTTAAGCGACTGCCTTCGGCTCAGGTCATGATCCTGGAGTCCTGGGATCGAGTCCCGCGTCGGGCTCCCTGCTCAGCAGGGAGTCTGCTTCTCCCTCTGCCCCTCCCCCCACATGTACTCTCTCTCTCTCTCTCATTCTCGCTCTCTCAAATAAATAAATCTTAAAAAAAAATGAAGAAGATTATTCAGAGAGTCGATATATTTTAATGCAAAACCTAAAAGGTTAAAACCAATGAGGTCAAAACCAGAAGGAAAAGGCTGCAGACATATGGGTGCACAAAGGACTGGTGTGTGTGTGCGTGTGCACACATAGGTGTATGTTCATACCTCTACTAATACAAACCTATAGACACACAAGAGAAACCTTAAGGAAGGCAAAAAAGATTAAAGAATTATATAGTGCTGAGGACTGGATTTGTAGAGGGTGTCATTACATAATTTAATAGCAGGAATTGTTATATCCATTGAAAGTCTGATGTGGCAGATACTGCTGGCTGACTACTTACTTCTTCCCTTTGTAAAAGAATTTGATTTTATTCATGGAGGCAACATATACAGCCAAAGACTACACTTCCTAGTCTCCTTTGCAGCTATTAAAATGTGACTAAGTTCTGGCTGATGAGATACAAGCTCAAGATTTTGTGTAAGACCTAAGAAGTCTCCTTAAAAGGAGTCTGAGATCAGGCCTTCCACCCATTTGCCCGTCTTGCAGCTTGAAATCAGACGTGATGACTAGACCCCCATCAGCCATCCCGGACCATGAGGGAAGACCTGGACAAGAAGCAAGTGCTGAAGGTGGCAGAGCAGAAAGACAGGAGACTGGGGTGTCAATGACTATGGAGCCAGTCTAATGGCCCCAGACTGCCCAACTAATTCCATTATTTAAGAGAAAAACCCTCATGTGTTTAACCCACATTTATTTGGGCTTTCTGCAACATGAAGCTAAACGGAATCCTAACTGACATACCTAATCGCCCCTGAAGAGTCCCTGGGTAGGAGAGGCTCTGTAAGAAGGCAGTTCCTAAGGAAATTGTTTTGGATTACCTGTTCCCAAAACTCCCTTTTCTGAGAAATCCCCCCACCCCCCACCCCACTACCCTTCACAGTTCTGATTTGATCCATTTGACTCTTCTTTCCTCCAAACATAAATCCTCTTCACCTGACCAGGCTGGACCAGCTGGGATTTGGAATTGAGTTGCTATGAATGATTTAATTAGCAGTGGAACTTGACACAAACTGTAGAATGGGACATGCCATGATGGGCCTGGTGTGAGGTGATGAGTCTTCAGAGAGGGAAGAGTGGAGAGGAAATGCAAAGAAGAAACAAGGAGGTGCTCCAAACAGAGAGCGAGTGGTGGACAGAGGCTTGGGTTATCCTTCTCTAGGCAGGACCGGGCTGCTTTTGGGTTCCCATTCCTGCCTATTTCCCTACAGTAACCTCTTCCCTCTTTTTACTTTAGCAGATTCCTATTTCCTGTGACCAGCAGAACTTTCAGGGGACGGAGACATTTTTGGACGTGGTTTTCCAAGAGGCATGTTTCATACATTTAATTTTATGCCCAGGATTTTGCCTTATGTGGTAGTGAGAAGAATATAAAACTAAATGACATGCCCTCCTTCCAATGAACATCTTGTGTTCTGCACTGAGAAACACATGACGGGATCACTGTTACTATAGATTTTAATGTTGACCTTTAAAAGTTTATGTAATTATAAATGTAATTTTTATAATTTTGACATGTGGATCAAACAGAACATAGTAGTAGTATTATGTTCTGTGTTTGCTTTATTATGGATGAACATTAAACATTGCAACATGGCTCCGATGGAGGCTCTCTGGGGGGTTAGGGTGACACCACATCAGGCCCCAAGGTGAGTCTGAAAATTATGACTCCTCATTCTTTCATCCCCATTATATTATATGAAACCTACTGTGGTTACTATAGCATATCTAGCCATAGCAAAGAACAGTCAAAAAAGTACTAAATATCTCTTCCACAAAGACTACAAAAGCTTTACTTGAAGCAGAAATGGGAAACATATGGATGAAATTATAGACTATAAGGATTATTAGATGCAAGAAAAGGCTTTATAAGAAGAGTGTAGAAGTGCTTCAGCTGGAGCCTCTAATGTTAGACAAACATCTTTATCAGCTAGTTTAGGGGTAACATTAGGTGTAACATTTTTCAGAGGTAGAATATTTAACAGTAAGGATAGTAGTGATAGTACACTAATGTTGATGTAAGGATTTATCGTTTGCAAAGCATTTAAATTTATCTTCCCATTCTGTAATTTCCTTTTCAGCCCCATTTTTTTTTTTTTTTTTTTAAGTAGGCTCCACACCCAGCATGGAGCCCATTGCAGGGCTTGAACTCATGACTCTGAGATCAAGACCTGGACACTTAACCAACTGAGCCACGCAGTTGTCCCATTCAGCCCCATTATTTTTAAGGGCAGATTCAGAGAAGCTCACAGGCATCCTTGGTCATCCATTTTAATTTTTACTTACAGTTTGGGTTTGGCCAGAACTGGAGGGGGTTCTTTGACGGGTGAAGAAGGCTCAGGGATTCTTGCTGTCTGTCCGTTGAATCTCTCCGGGAAAGAATTAGGCCTGGTCTGGTTGGTGGTCACCACACCACCATCAGAAGATGCTTCACTTCCTTTGTCATCTTCAGGCAGGTTGAAGTGCACACGGAGCCCAATCCTTGAGCTGGACCGGGGCTCATTGTGGTTCACCAGAACTCCTTCAAGTTTGGGTTTAGGGGGATGTTCCACAGAAGGGGGCTCTGGGTTGGGTGGGGATGGTTGTTGCTCAATAACAGCCAGGTTGGTGGTGGAATTGGCTGAGTGAAGAGACCCATTATTTCTGAGGTCTTCATTTCCTGAAAGGACAATAACAGGACCTGAGCTGTCAGCCTTACTCAGTAAAACGGAGGTAGGATTGTAACTGTGAACTGGGGCATGTATCCAAACCAGATGAGTATGTTAATGGGAGAATGCCTGTCAAAAACAGTGACCACAATCTGGGGCATTAAAGAATGGTGAAGATACAGGAAAAAAAAACTAAACTAAAAATCTAAGTACCATTTTGGAAAGAATATTAGAAGTTTATAAAAGACCAAGGAGATGTTTTCCTAGGGAATATCAGAGATAACAGCAGGATAATGGGTGGTGGTGGTGGTCATAAATGCTAAAAGAAATCCAATATCCAATCGGGTATTGTTCCATAGTCTAGACTGTTCTGGCCTTTCAGGCGCCATTACCTCTCACGTCGAGCTGTGCAATGCTTGACACTGTGCCGTATTTGTTGCTTGCAGTACACGTGAAGCATCCAGAGTCTTCTGCAAACACCTCAGCAATGACCAAAGTACAAATCTCCTCTAAACACCAATAAAACAGAACAGTTACTGACTTAATTGTGGAAATGGAATTATAAAATTTACTGATAACAGATGATGATTCTACAAAAGTCAATGTAAGAAGTTGATTCTAGTAATTGTTTGAAAATAATCAGTTCAAACAATTATTTGATTGGATTGACTGATGAGCAGTCTCAATGAATCAAAGGATGTAGAACAAAAAACTCCACATAGACTACTGGCAAGAGGATCTTATGATAATATAATATCTTAATATATTGTGAATTCCCATATTATTTTCTGTTTTTATGTCATCACTCCAGATGACAAAAATAGAACTGAGAAAAAGTAAACTTACAAATCACAAAAACAAGTTAGGAGTTAGCGCAAAAGGAGATTTGTGTGAAATAAAAGGATTAATAAAACGTTTTAAAATCTAGGTCTCTTATTATGTCTGTGGGGAACTTTTGCACTGAGGTAATTTTAAATGAGGGCCACAATTTAAAACTGGGCAAGAAATATTTTGATGAGCTAGTAGTAATTAGCTGATAGAGTAATTTGAAATTCCAGGTAAAAGAAGAGTGAAATGCATCTTTTCCTTTGCAATGCTATGGTAATTCTTATGGATTACTTCAATACACAGCATGAACCCCCTTTGAATAACTACAAAAGCGATTCCCAGATTGAACCACGTGATTATAGCTTAAAATTATTATAGTTAGATATTCCTTGACGCGAAGAGAAGTATAGGGCAGTAGCATAAACTGTCAGTTACCACTCAGTGGACCTGACACTAAAAACAAAATTAACAAAAACATAGTTGTATTAGGAGGGACTTGGCATCTCACTGTTTCGTGATAACTGAATTCAATTAGCTGGCCAGCCTCTAGGAAAACTGGACAGGAGGCCACGGCAGACGATATTGAGTACCTGCTCCGTGGCTCTTCATCCTCCTCCCTCCTTCCTAATAGAATTCCGGCTTTGTCCACCCTCCTTGGAGTGGTCATGTGCTTCAAGGCAACTTGGCCTCTCCCAGTCTCAGATGGCAAACCGTGATTGGTCACGCTAAGCTCTATTCTTGCTGAGTCATGGCATGCACTACGCAATTCTAATCAATGAAATAGGAAGGAAGGAAAGTCTTTTGGGGAGTTCATGAGAAAGATTTCCTTGCTCTTTGAAGAGAACAAAAGAGAGTTGTGTTCCCTAATTTTGCCTCTGCAGTGTTGTCTGCATGCAATACTCAGAACTGTGGCAGCTGTCTTGGGTAGATAAGTAAAACAAGCCTAAGCCTGAAGACAGTGAAATGGGAAATGGGAAAAAGGCTTGGCCCCCGATGATCTTGGAGACGCGAAATCACCCAATCTCAAGACATTTCTCAGGACATCTTGCTATGTGAGAAAATACATTTTTCTTAAAGCTTAAGCCACTTTAATTAGGTCTTCTTGCTGCCAAGAATCCTAAATGATGGAGAGGCAAAGTTTGGTTTTGGTGCCTCTCTGTACTTTTTCTGAGCACTTGGACTATGTTTTCTTCTCTCTCTCTCTTCCTCTTCCCAAACATTTCTACTCTCAGCCTTCAACAACCACTTTCAGAAAATGATCTGATTAATTTATTCACACTACACTGTACCTGCCTGATAAAATAAAGTATTCTGCCTCCAAAGGGTATTTGCATGTACTAGATGGAGGAAGAAGAACTCTCTGGCTATGAAATTTTAGATCTCAGAGCTGGGAAAGGTAGCACTTGTTTTGGGAAGGGACCCCTTTTGGGTGACTCAGATGATTGTGTGTATGAAATTGCCTAGTGGAAAAGTCTGCTCTGGACAAAAGTGTCAAAACCTGAAAGATTTTCAAGGGGAAAAATACCACTCCACTACAAGCAATGCAAGAGTAGGGCTGTTCTGTTCTTTACTTATGTATCCCCAAGGCCCTAGGGTAGGGCTGTGCCCTATGGATGTTCCATGTCTACTTCTGGAATGCCTTTCCATTCAGTTTTCAGAAGAGAGAATTATAATAATGAAATCCCAAACCATCATTCTTACTCAGGGGTACAAATACAATCTAATTTTCCAGGGTGATCACAGAGAAGACTTTTCAGATGTTTACACTGTAGTTTGTGAGTAACTTCCATTTTCTAGAGGTAAAAGCTTCACCTACCATCACTCCCATGTCATCTTGGTATCTTCCCATCCAAATCTAACAACACCATGGATGTTTTATTGATTCTGCAAATTTCAAAATCTGATGGATAAGTTTTGAGACACATAAGCTGTGGAATTGGAATTGATCTAGCATCATGAAAATTGCTCTGCCCACTTTTGGGAGGTCATGTGTAGGGGCCAAAAAAACAGAGGGAAAATATTCCTAAGAAACATCCCTTAAAAACCAGGAACTAACTGCATTCATGTTCAGTATCGGATATAAATTCCAAATTTGCATGTGCTCCCCTCCTATCCTTCTCTTACAGTAATAGCTAGAGTGGGTTAGAATCCTGTTTCTAAAACCGTATTTTCATATTTTTCTTGACACCAGTGTAACAGGAATATGTTTTATTATTTATATAAGATATATAAATTCACTGATTTATGTATATATATTTTATATGTATGTAAAATCACTAATGCTAACACGCTAACAAATTAAAGTTAAAATGATCCTTACCTGGTTCTGCCATGGATCGAGGTTCTAAAAAAAAAAAAATGAAAAGATTCTAAGCATTTCTTTTACCGAGAGGCCATATTTTCATCAGAAGCTTCCTATAGAATTTCAGTCTCTTGTATACTCATGAGTGATTTGATAAGGTTAATCTGTAAGTGTGGAAGTAAAGCACCAATGACAAGACAGTTGTCACAGAAGGGCAGCAAGAGAGCTGCTAAGCAGATGTTGCCATATCTCGGGACACACCTGGATTCCACTTGGGACACATAAAGCCTTAGGTGAGGAAAAGTGACTGAGTTAGGGATTCAGGAACAACTTGCTTTAACTGATACCCATTCAGCTGTACCTGAAACAAGGTTTGTGAAGACTGAGAGCTCATTCTTGGCTAGGCTTCTCACATCCTAATAAAACATAGACTATACCTCCTGCTCTACGGTTTCCAGATCTGATTAATTTATTCACACTACATTGTACCTGCCTGATAAAATAAAGCATTCTGTCTCCAGAGGATATTTGCATATACAAGATGGAGGAAGAACTCTCTGACTATCAAGTGTTTTCATAGCCAGAGAGCCTCAGGAGAGATAACAAGAGAGCAGGTTCTTTATCTTAAAATTCTTTGACATTCCTGAAAGTGCCTGCATGGTACTGAAAACAGAATACAGGTGTTCAATTGCAGGCATTCAATAAGAGTGTGGAACTTAGTTACAACCTTCCACACTGATAGAACTATTAAAGTTTTTCTTCTCAAGTTTAAATGGTATTCAGATTATATTATTGTTGCTGCTACTGTTAAAACGTGATAGCTCAGTTGTTAAGCGTCTGCCTTCAGCTCAGGTCATGATCCCAGGGTCCTGGGATCGAGCCGGCAGCGGACTCCCTGCTCTGCGGGAAGCCTGCTTCTCCCTCTCCCACTCCCCCTGCTTGTGTTCCCTCTCTCGCTGTCTCTCTCTCTCTGTCAAAATAAATAATGAAAAAACTTAAAAAAAAAACAAAACAAAACCTGATAGCAGTTTGACTCATATATCAGTGATAAGCAGAGACAAATTAACAAGAAAGGAAATAAATTATAATGTATTTTATGACTAAAATGGGTCAAGGTGAAAGCAGTATATGATAAGAAAAAGGAGAATTGACCACTTGCATATATAAATAATTCTTACAGTAAAAAAGAACAAAACTTCAGTATGAAAATGAGCAAAGGATATGAACAGGTAATTTTAAAAATAAAGAAATACAAAGACCCAATAAACATGAAAAAAGTTCCACCCCACATTTACTTAGTGAAGTACAGATTAAAACTAGTATTCTCATTTTGGACCTATAAAATTAGTGAAAATTTAAAAAATGTTTAATACCCGTTATTAGTGAAGGTATGAGACAAATGGCATTCCCATATATTGTTGGTTGTAGTAGAATATAGCTAGGACAACACGTGTCCCAGTTCATTTGGGATAGACCTGTTTTATTCCTGGGATCTCTGTGTAATTATTAATAGCAGTCTCTTTCACTCCCAAAGTGTCTCAGATTGGATGATCAATTATGTGATTATCCTCAATTTAGTTCAGTCTTTTGGGTTAGGCATGTTGGCAATATATATTGAAAGCCTAAAAATGGGTGAATTTATAATAGCAATTTCTGTACTCTTTATTCTTTTTTTTTTTTAAGATTTTATTTTTAAGTAATCTCTACACTCAGTGTGGGACTTCAAACCACAACCCCAAGATCAAGAGTCATACTCTACTGACTGAGCCAGCCAGGCACCCCTAATACTCTTTATTCTATAGATATTCACAAATGATTTTGCTTTTATATGCATTGAAGCAGTTTACAAAAGTAAGAATTTGTGAACAATCTAAATGTTCGACAACAGGAGATTAAATAAATATAAAATTGATTGTATTGATTTGTTTTTAAAGTATATTCATTAACAGGAAAAGATGTTCATGATATGTTGAGTGAAAAAATCAATTTACAAAAAAGCATATGATTTATTTTATTTTTATTTATTTATTTATTTTTAAGATTTTATTTGTTTGACAGAGACACAGCGAGAGAGGGAATACAAGCAGGGAGAGTGGGAGAGGGAGAAGCAGGCTTCCCACTAAGCAGGGAGCCTGATGCGGGACTTGATCCCAGGACTCTGGGATCACGACCCAAGCCGAAGGCAGACGCTTAATGACTGAGCCACCCAGGCGCCCCTATTTTTATTTTTGAGAAACATACGCATGGAGAAATTTTTGGAGAATAGACAACACAATATTACTAGGATTTATTTTGGAGGATTATGATTACAAGTAATTTTTCTTTTATTTTTTAAATTAGTTGTTAAAAAGTTATAGAAATAAATGAATACCATACATTTATAAAAATTATCAGAAAAATACTTTAAAGTATCAACTTACTTTTCTGTAAAATTCTAAAATCTGGAGAATCTTCTATCAAGGTCCCTTCTCTATACCACTCAACTTTAGGAGATGGAGCTCCTTTTACTCTGCATTCAAAGACAACCAGCTGACCTTCAGAGGCTGATAAATTTTGTAACATCTGTAATGAGAAGAATATTGCTAGAGCCAAAAAGTATACATTTTTGGAATCTAGTTACAGTGCTGAATTTTAGAAAAAGATACTATCGCCTTCATATTTGGATTTTCTCCAAATCTTCTAGATCTCCAGCAGTTTCAGTTCTGTGGATATTCATTGAGTCTGTTTTTGGAGATAGAATCATCTGAGCCCATATAAAGCTTTTCCCTCACTATCCTCTTCCTTTTCCTCTCTGTTGCAATGCCAGACAACTTTATTAAATACTAGGTGACACATTTGGAGGGTTTGGAAAAATGCTGACTTTTGGTAAAGTACTTCTGTTCTTAAATGCCCAAGTGGAGGTTGGTTTCCAGAAATAATAACAATTTAAGAAATCTGCAGGAGTATCTATTAGGTGTAGTCAACATGGGAGTAATGTATTTTTTCACACAAGAATGTCACTATTCATGAGGTGGAACATCTCTGTGGCTCAAGTAACTGATTCCATTTTCCTGGCTTTGTCTTGTTTACATACTGTGGTCCTGGAAATTGACTTTTGTTTTGTTTTCTTGTTTTCCTTATGGGTTCTTTATAGTATAACTTCAATGATCTGGTGAGGGATATAAACAATGACAATCTCTATAAAAATCATAGTCACAAATGGAGTCTGATATCATGGTAAAATATGTTGTAATTTTGTGAAGGCATCATTAAATGCTCTTCCACACATCCATGAAAAAAGGTTTACAAAACCACTTTGTTTTTTTTTTGTTTGTTTGTTAAAAGTAGGCTCCACGCCCAGTGCAGAGCCCAACGTGGGGCTTGAACTCACGACCCTGAGATCAAGATCTGAGATGAGATCAAGAGTCAGAAGTTTAACCAACTGAGCCACCCAGATGCCCCTACAAAACCACTTTGAACTGTATCATATCAATATATTCTATAATAGATTCTACTAGAGAATGGCACTCACAGTCTCCATTCACAGCCAGTCTTTCACTCATGATTTGTGAGCTTAAAGTCACACATTCTTTTGTGTAGTTGGTACTTCATTTGATTTGAGAGAGAGAGGGAGGGAAAGAGAGAGAGAAAGAGTACAAGTAGGGGGAGGAGAGAGGGGCATAGAGGGAGAGAGAGAATTTCTCAAGCAGACTCCAAGCTGAGCATGGAGCCTGAGACAGGGCTTGAAACCAGGACCCTGAGATCATGACCTGAGCCTAAACCAAGAGTCCAACGCAACCGACTGAGCCACCTGGGTGCCCCTGGTACTTCATTTGATTATGAAATTCTTCTTTGGCATGTGTGTGGGCATATTTTTTTTTCATATTATTGTTTTTAATGTTGGACAAAACATTATAAACATGGAAAGATTATGATTAACTTCCTCCACAAGCTCTATTAGTAACTAATGCTGCAAGGCTTTCTATTATTACTATTTGGGGATCTGCATTAAGGAAATATTGGCTCTTGCATCAGAGAAAGGAAAAGCCGATATTTAGTTAATTTTTTGCTTTTGTCATTCACTCTTATAAATATCCTGTGATTATTTATACCTATTTTATGAACAATTTATGATAATTTGTGCATGGCATGGCCCCATCATATTTATGACATTTGTCTAAGGAATATAGGGGTGGGGATAACCACACAGCTTGAGCTATACATAGTAGATGACTTTTACCTCAGAGGTATGTAAGTTGATATTGGAAAGCCAGGGGGCACTGTAGTTCAATATTAGTGTTTTGTTCTTTTTGCACTCCCAAATTTGTTTGCTGAAGTAATTCAGGATGAGATTTGTACAGAGGGGTCTCTGAATTAATAAGGAACTATTTGATAAACAATAGCAATAACAAAAAAAAAACCCTAAAACACCTTCTTATTCTTTATCTACCCCAAACTACAACTTCTAGTGACAAGAAAGGAATGTTCTTAGTAAGCAGGGAACATCAAGGAGTCTCGGGTGCTCCTGGCAAGTTGGTGGATATGCCCTCCACCCTGACATCTGATCAAATTCTGTGTAACGTGGCAGCTTTGAGGCCTAGTGAAAATTTTAATGGCAGTCAGACATCTCCCTGGGATTCATACAAGATAGAGTTTCATTCCTTGAGGCAAACAAATTAGAAAAACAGACCAAGAAAAAAAAAGTGGTGGCAGAAGGGATGGAATAAATTAAATATGGCATCCTTTTTAAGGGGATGTGAGAAGAATGAGGTCAATCTATATGTTCTGACACGGCTTGCAGTTCAGACACATGAGCCAATTCTCAATCCGTAGAGGTTAGACCAAAGCCCTGCTTGCCAAAGGATATCCTTGAGAGAATATGTTGCTCAGAGCAACTTTAATTGAGACCGACTTTAATTATTCACTTGACATTGAAGGTCAAGGCCTGCGTTCTATTTGAGAGTCCAGCCAAGGTACCTCAGATACTACAGTGTATGTAATATGCCTGCTAAATGTCTATGATATGAGATGCAACCTCATTCCAGTTGACACATCATCAATACTCAGTAAGAGAGGTGCCGACAGTCATCTTACAAGCCACTCAAAAGAAGTTGTTGAAAGTCATAGTTGGAAGGACGATGATAGTTGTTATTACTGAAAACTGCTTTTCTACAAAAGTCTCATGAGAAGGAATTGACTCACACCAGGGTCCAAACCAATCACACCATTTGAACATAGTGCAGATGGTGCCACATTCAACAAAGGAGTAGGTCTTAGGCTGTTATTAATGGCACAATGTCTACGGACCTGATCATAATCATCTTGACTTCACTGAAAATGAATAAGATAAATGAAATATTCCCCAACTAACAAAGATTTAATTAGTCTTAACTAGGAATTATGGATTTGGACTAAAGTTACTAAGCTGAGGGTCTACAACCTCCTGAGGTAAAGAGTATCCAAAGAACAAATCTGTCTTGTGTGTCATCACCATACTGATAATCTTGGAAGACATTCTTTGAAGGGTGACTTGACAGCATAGAGCCTCGAGAAGCATTTCTTCCATAGCCATTTGATATGGGATTTTTTTTCTCTCTTCCTCCTGCAGATACTCTGAAGCCACAAAGCAATGAAAACAATAATTCTTTATTTAGCTGAAAGGGAAGTTATTCACCACAGAATAAATATTACTATGTGCCTGCCTTATGTCAAGCACTGTGCCAGGGGCTTTAAATGTGAGTTGAAAGGACATAGTTTGTGCTCAGATTTATACCCACAAATATAATACAGGGATAACCTTGAGAAAGGACAGCTCCCTTATTGGTTAAAAGATGCCAGCTTTAAGATTCATACTGTCATTTTATTCTTTTTTTTTTTAAGATTTTATTTATTTATTTATTTACTTGACAGAGAGAGAGCATGGGGAGCAGCAGAGGGAGAGGGAGAAGTAGGCTCCCCGCAGAGCAGGGAGCCCGATGCAGGACTTGATCCCAGGACCCTGGGATCATGACCTGAGCCGAAAGCAGATGCCTAACTGACTGAGCCCCCCAGGTACCCCGTTTTATTCCTTTTTTAATCCAGTTGATGTTTGTGCACCTTGGGAGAGAGCGACTGCAAGTGAATGTGTATGGTGCTTTAGGCTGGAGTTGGATCAAAGGAGTTCTTTATGGATAAAGAACTGTTTGACAGAGGACCTTTTTACCCCTTGGTGGGCACAGGTGCCCAGAGCAACAGTTGAGCCAGAAAAGTTTCTGGAATTGTTGGGCTGGGAAGGGGGGCCCATGTAAGCTTTAGAAATCTGGATCCAGCCACTGGCCCAGTTATTTAGGGTTTTCCTGCTTCTGCTGTTATGTAATGAGGTGCTCTTCAAATTCTCACTTCCCCTGCCCCCTTGCACTCTTCAAATTACTGCTGAAGCAGCTGGAGCCAGGGCTGCTGCAGCCTTGAAAGCCGGCCAGGGCAGCTGCTGCTGGACTGGGAGCACCCATAGCAGTAAGATTCTAACCTAATTTGATCATCCACCTCCCTTCGCACTCAAGAAGTGTGAGTGCTATTTTCTCCCTCATAAATAGAATGAAAGTGCTTTTGATACTGTATAGAAGATGGAGGATAGTCTATCTCCATAAAATACTTTAAAATATAGGTATTACCTAGAAGTAGAGCAGTGAACTAGATATGGTAGCTCTTCTCTCGAGCTACCACTGTTTTGCTGGGCAACCCTCCTTTTCATTCTAACCTTTAAAAAGAAGATAATGTTAGTACTTCCCTATCACCAAAGGAGGCACAAGGAGTTAAATAAAACTCTGCTCTTTAATTTTTGCTTTAGAAAAATGGCTTCTTGCCATTACTGGCAAAGAAATGCTTTGTTGGGCAGTATAGAAAATGAGTCACAGGGGTTGGAATGCCAGAAGTCCCTAAAGAAGTAAATAAAGCAGGAATAACCCAAACAAACATATGCATATGATCAGTTATCATGGCTCACGCCATGTGATTACCATCATCAGTGGCCCTGACTCAGAAATTTTCTGACACTGGCCATGACTATGACCTCAATTCTGCCCTCACTGGTGGAAACTAATACAAGCACACCGTTGCTGATAAGTCTCTCTGGAATGTGAGCCACAGCCTATCCCATCCCTGTGCCCTACGTCTGAACAATCCTGAGCCCATTTATGGAGGCAAAAGCACATATCCTGAGGGCTGAGAAAGTCTGTTCAGAGTTTGGGTCTTTGTACTAAGGACTGTTTCCCCACCACGGACCTAATGTTTTTGGAGATTTATCTAAGTCCCTGACTTAGGATGGTTCAACTTATGATTTTTCAACTTTATGATGGCGCCCAAGTGATACACATTCAGTAGAAACTGTATTTCAAATTTTGAAGTTTTGATCTTTTCCTGGCCTAGCAATCCTCGGTATGATCCTCTCTTGTGATGATAGACGGGAGCAGTGAGTCACATCTTCCCATCATCCACGCCGTCACGAAGGCAAACAACCAATACCCTGACAACCATTCTGTACCTATCCGATCTTTCTGTTTTTCACTTTCAGTACAGTATTCAACAAATTCTATGAGATATTCAACGCTTTACTGTAAAATAGGCTTTCTGTTAGATGATTTTGCCCAATTGTAGGCTACTCTAAGTGTTCCGAGCATGTTTAAGGTAGGCTAGGCAAAGCTAATGTACTAAATACATTTGGATCTATGATATTTTCAAGTTACAAAGGGTTGACCAGGATGTAGCTAGTGATTAAATCATTTCCCATTTTTATTTGTCAAGGCAAATATGAATCTGCCCATTAGAGTATCTAATTGCAAGGAGGTATCACAGTCACCACACAAAAGCAGCTAACCCTGTTCTTTGAACCAGTCCGTGAAAATTAAATGTAAAGAATAAGTGCTAAAGTACTATTGGATTTATTGGAATAATAAAAACAGCTTTGGACCTATTGTTTCCTTCGTAGACTTCTATCTAGATATTAGAGATCGCCTTCAAGGTGCTTGGCAGAGACAGAAAAGCAAACAGCTTTATTAGTGTGCTAAATGTTATACCAAAGGTATCCACTAGGTGATTCAGATGCAGGGAAGAGAGAACACCATTTGAAAGTGAGCAGGAGGCAAGGACACCTGTCTGGTGTCTGGCTGGGCAGGTGGCGGTGAGGAAGAGGAGAGAGGACACTTCAGCTGGGACTGGGTATAAATTATTCTGTGGTTTAGTTGCTTTTGAAGAGTGAGCACTGTCTCTAGGGTGTGACAAAGGGGCATGAAAAATTAAAATGTCCTGATTCGGGGCGCCTGGGCGGCTCAGTCAGTTAAGTGTCTGCCTTCGGCTTGGGTCATGATCTCAGGGTCCTGGGATTGGGCCCACGTTGGGCTCCCTGCTTGGCAGGGAGTCTGCATCTCTTTCTCCCCTTACCCCTCCCCCCCATTCATGCTCTCTTTCTTGCTCTCTCTCAAATAAATAAATAAAATCTTTAAAAAAAATGTCCTGGGGGCGCCTGGGTGGCTCAGTTGGTTAAGCAACTGCCTTCGGCTCAGGTCATGATCCTGGAGTCCCGGGATGGAGTCCCGCATCAGGCTCCCTGCTCAGCGGGGAGTCTGCTTCTCCCTCTGACCCTCCCCCCTCTCGTGCTCTCTCTCTCTCTCATTCTCTCTCAAATAAATAAAATCTTAAAAAAAAAAATGTCCTGATTCTGTGGCACTTAAAACTCTGTTTTAAGAGTAGGTGACTTAGTAGTGAAAAAAGAGACAATTAGATGTAGCTCTATTGGCCATATTACACACGTGCACGTGCACACACACACACCCCTATACAAAGGTCCACTTATAACTCTTCATCAAAATCTTGTATTCTCCAAGTCACAAATATGTTGTTTTCCTACCTCAAGTCTTTGAAAATAGCAAGGCTGAAATTCCAAAAGCAGATTACAAGGAACAAACCTGATAAATCGAGAGGCATCTTGCTTCACATAAGAATGTCTGCCCAACTGATATGGATATGGATAAACGTGTCTCACTCTAGGCTCTGCTTGATTTTGGAAAACCATCTTAGATGAGCCTAAATGATGGAACTTCCCTAAAACTTATGTTTCCGTGGAAGTTGTGCCTTAAGCTCTTCCCTCAGGGTTCATACTCTCTGGAAAATATGCCATTTTGCTCTAAGCCACGCTTTCTCTGCCTCAAGACTATTGATGATTTGGGCTGGATAATTCTTTATCGTGGGAGGTCTAGAAGCTGCTTTTAGGCCACAGGCTTGAACAATGGAAACTTGAGCAAGGCCAAAGGGCCCACAGCAACCACCAAGCTAAATGCAAACGAGCTCATTAAGCCACAGTTTCTAACCGACTAATGGGCTACTTTCTACCTGGGATAGTTCCAAGATAACCATAAAAGGGAAAAGTCCATACATCGGCATAAGGCCTCACTCCACCCTATAACTCTAGCCCCTCACCACTGCCTCCTAGACCCTCTTTTCTTTGCTGTCCGGCCTGCGGCTTCTTTGCAGTGTAGTCAGCTACCGTCCATCTCCTTTGTTCTGCCTTGGGTGAATTTGTTTTACCACCCACACCCACTGGCCCCCACCCAATTAGGACACCCCACAGGAGGCTGTCATTCTATGCATTACAGGATGTTTAGCAGCATCTCTGGATGCCAACAGCACAATCTCCCAGTCGTGACAACCAACAATATCTACAAACATTGCAAATGTCTCTTGGGTGGCGGTGGGGGGGGGGGGGCGTGCAGAGTTAACTCTGATTGAGAACCACCGCTCTAACTTAAAGCATACTTCTGACAGGACAAAATCTCTTTGGGCCTAAGTTTGGCATTCAGATAAACAATAAGCTATAAATCCAGGTATAGATTTCATCCATGTGGTCTTCATAATACCAAAAAAAAAAATGTGACTCAATTTTCACCTTTAAATTTGTTGTCTTGGGCAACGCATAAATAACGTATGTTATATAAAGGAAGGAATAATAGATTGGGAATTGGAAGAGCTTGTTTCTAGTCCTGATTCTGCCACTAACTCATTTTGTGACCTTGGATAAACTGCTTCATGTCCCTGGCCCTCCCTTGTGTTTTCATTTGTAAATGAAAGTGCTTGAGTAAATTTTCTAGTTCTGAATACAAAGACTCTGAGACTCGGAATTTGACAACGCTGCAATAGTTGATCTGTGGAATAGAAAAAGAAAGTTCTTTGTCCTAGAGTGTTCCTTTATGTTAAGCCTCCTAAGATCATTTAACCCCATCTCCTTCAACACAAGAGACATGGGCCTGCAACGTGATTCTTCTGAAAGTCCGGAGAAACCTTTGGAGTAGAGAGTGGCTAGAAACTTATCACCTGACCCCTAGGTGTGGCTACCCCATTTAACAGCAATAAGATGGCCATGTAGAGATCAGTGTGGTGAGTGGGGAAGACATTCCTCTCATTATGCAAACTATTATTAGAAATCTGGGACTTGAAATAACATGGAAACAACTACCAAAAACCCCAAACCTTATACAGTACTTATAAAAGACCAAAATCCTGAGCTAAATCAGTAAATCGTGGATCCTGCAATTTTGTGTGGGTACTGTGGTATGTTTAAAGCCATGACAGAAAGAAGTAGTATTTTGATTACCTTTGTAAACACAGGAGCTGCAATGATCGGTTTTCCATCCAATCCTTGCAGATAGTTGGTGGGGCTCTGACACTATTAGAAGGGAACAAACAGTAGATTCATTGTCACTATGATTACTACCTAGATGATAGGTAAATAGAACAAATCTACAGAATTTGGTACATGTGATTAATCTAAAACCAAAAAACCGACATTTTCTAAGTCTATGAATTACAGACTTCAAATTTGATACTGAATTGATTGTATTTCTTTCTAGGTCATGGTGGTTGTAAAATAAGTGCTGTCTATCCCCACAGCCTCAACACAGAGAGAGCTCTATTGGTTGTAATTAACCCTAAACCCCTGAGGAAGTTCCATAAAACCTGAGTCTCCACAGATCACAGCTTGAAAACTACTGGATTAGAACTAAAATGTGACCCCTGGGCATTACTAAATGGATTAAATAAAAAACTCTGTTTAAATTTTTTTTTAAGTTGTAGACCAATATGTTTACTTATACATAAATAAATATATTAATAACATATTAAAATACATTTAGATTAGTATGTTTTCATATTTTTAAAATATTATATATATTCATATACATGCATAGAAAATGCCTGGAATTATCTGCTAGCAACTATTAACAAGAGGTACCTCTGAGGAGTCGGGGCATGGGAGCAGTACATGGACCAAGGTTTTTAGTGAGTATACTTCTGTATCTTTTGAATGTTTTTACAATAAGCATGCATTATAATCATGATCATGATCATGATCATCATCATTAACCTGAAGGATGAGAGCATTTAATGCTTTCTAAAAAAATCATTTCATGGTTGTTGTATCTTAGAAAGTAGAATTATTTGCAGCTCCACGAAACTGAGTTTCATGATATAGAGTGTCCTGCCTGGGCCACTGTGAGAGCTGACAGCTCTTTGTATCCCTAATCAATACCCTTCATTAAACTGGAATATCAAGACTAATTAGTAAAGAGTTTCTTTTCCTGTGAAATTTGCCTATGAGGCTAGAGAATATGTTCCTGAAACAATAAGAAACGCTGATATCCTACATCAGAAGTACAAAGCCATTATCATGACCGTGGAAGTGTGTTGCCCAAAGTCATGAAACTGCAACAGAGAATACAATCATGCCATAAAAGATGGCCACGGTCATGGTGCCTGCCCTCCACAGTCCATGGCACCTGTGTTTCACTTAGACTCTTGTACCTGTTGGATGGTTGTCACCCTGGGCTGGGCCACCACATGCTGGGCTTGGGGTGCTGCTGAAGGAATGGCTGCAGAAGTAGTGGGAGTAGATGACACCTCTTTTGGCTTCTGGATTCTGAGAAATGGTTAAAATATAGATTTTAAAACAGACATCATTGTTTTTGAAAATTCTTTCAGAAAAGCTAGTAATGTCATCAGTTCTTACAAGTTAGATGTAATAAAAATTTTTGTTCAACAATATTCCACAAGTGCTTAACTTCTTTAAACACACTTTTTAAAAAAGATTTTATTTATTTATTTGAGAGAGAATGCACAGGGAGGGTGAGAGGGAGAAGCAGACTTCCTGCTGAGCAAAGAGCTGGATGCAGGGCTCGATCCCAGGAGCCTGAGATCATGACCTGAGCCAAAGGCAGATGCTTAACCAACTGAGCCACCCAGGTGCCCCTCTTTACTATACACTTTGATAGGCAATGTCAACAGGAAGATGATAAGATGCCACTACTGTCCTTGAGTTAGTGGCTCTCAGCTGAGGACTCAAGAATATTCATAACTAACTGAGATTCAAGACAAGTGCAGAAGATAATTTTTTGAGATTTTTGTTGTTGTTGTATTTTCCTCTGTATTTGCCCTCCCCTTTTCATTCCAAGTAAAAGGCCAGGCTTTATGAATGTTTGCTTCTGGGATTTTGGCATGGCATAAAGCAGAAATAGCCTGAGTCAACAAGCTCAAGTTTACACAAATTAAATTAAATTAAAAAGCTTATTTAAAGGGCAAGAGAGCCAAGAAGTATTCACAAGAAGACTGTGGAAGGGAGATTATTTTAGTTTTGCCGTGGAGAAGAGGTCTGAGGATCTTGTCAGAGAACCTGACAAGAGGGAGAACCAGAGTTCAGAGGGGATAGCAACCCCTCTAGTTAAAAGGCTCCTAGTCTTACTAAAGGTATCAGTACCCACGCGTGTCAGGAAGCAACAAAGTGCTGGACTTGAAGGGATCTTGGGGTCTGGGAGATAGGACTCCCTTCCATATCCTATAGGGATAGATGACTTATGACAAGATGGGCTTCCTTTTTGTCCAGTTGTTACCTTCCTCTGCCGCAGCTTCTTCATCTTTAAAATGGGGAAATAACAATTCTTACTTCAGAGGGTTTTTGTAAGTGTTAAATAAGGTAATTCATGTAAGATGCTTAGAGCAGTGTTTAATATCAAACATGATGTCTATGTCTATGTCTGTATCTATCAACTTTGTACAGTCATAGGGGCGGGGGGAAGGGACGCCCAATAATGAGTGATTGAATTTTTTCCCAGACAAGAAGGATGGCATCTCAGAAGCAGAATTATGTAGTGATGCAGAGGCTATCAGTGTCCCCAAAGCATCCATCTTCTTCTTCTACAATAATAGAATTCCTGATTTCTTTACATGGCTATTCCAAATAAAGTTTGCATTTCCTGACCTTCATTAAGCTAGGTGTAGCCATACGACTACTCTCTGGTCATGGGATATGAAGGATAGTGATGTATGTTGATCTAAGAGAAATGACCTTAAGAAGGGGGTGGGGAATGCCCTTTATTCCTTGCAATCTGAGACTAAGATGAGGCTATTCCTTAAAATGAGTTGAAGCTGGAAGCCAGCTGGAACCCAGTGAGTTGTAGAGCCATTCTACCAGCCAAATCCATATGTTTATGTAAATGGGAAATAAATATCTGTCTCATTTAAGTTACTGTCATTTGGGGTGTCTATTACACAGAACTGAAGCTAAATCCTAACTACCAAAAGTAGATTTAAAGAAAATAATCAACCGAGATATTTCATGCTTATTTAAGTTTGTATATCATATCTTGCTTATTCAGGTTTGTATATTCCAAATGTTGCTGTTTGTTTCAGGTAATCTTAGGGAATGGAATTTGCATCTGTTTCAGGTCCCATGCCTTCTGTCCACAGCTTCCTCTGCCTGAAAATGCTTTTTCCTTCCTTTTTTTGAGGGTGTCCACCTACTGTTCTTTTAAGACTCAACTCAAGGTCACCAACTCTGCAAAGCCTTTCCTGATCTCTCATTCCCTCCCCAACCAATTAAGAGATGTTTGTGCCAAGTCTGATACACCCTGCCCATGGTTACATCATAGTCTATTACACTTTATTACTCTTACTGTCTATATGCTTGGTATACATCTCTTGCTATATTTGCTATGTATTTTCCTCTGGTAGACTGTGAGCCTCTCAAAGGTAGGAAGCATCTGATTTTTCTTATTAACCATTGTGTCTAATGCAGTGCCTGGTATAGAGTAGATAAGTTGATGGTTGGGGAAGGTAAAAAATGGATGGATGTAACTTTGTTCAGTACTCAGTGTAATTGTTCAACAAAAAGGTTATGACTTATTCAGATCACTCACATATATAATTTAGGGTAACCAGGTTTTGTGTCCTTTTGAATACTATTATTTAGTCACAAAACATGAATTTTTTTTGGAGCACTGGGCTATTTGCTTTTTACTCTGTAGTTGTAAGTATGATATAGTATGATGATATAAGTGTGATGATAGGTGATACCTCATTTTTAAAATATTGGGAATATAGGGCGCCTGGGTGGCTCAGTTGGTTAAAATATTGGGAATATTAAAATTCTTCTTCTAGGTAAGACTTAAAACAAAAGAAGTAGAGTTCTCCAAATCCACTCAATATTTATTTTTTGAGGTCATATCCTGGAGCCACACTTTTCAAGTTCTACTAAACCAATCAGCAGCTTTCTCAGGCTCTGAGGTTGCTAAAGCCATAGGATAGAAAATTAGAATTACCGATTCATCTCTTCCTTGTTAGGGTCCCCTTCTGAGTCAGAAGAAGAAACCCCTGGAAAAGTAAAAACAAGACATGAAATCTTTAAGATGATAATTTCTTAAACTAGTTCCTAGGCATTTGAAGGCCTATAGAACTTCAGACCTAGATATGAACTCAGTGATTTCCTACACTAACACCCAATCTTACAGATGAGAAACAGACCCTAAGGAGTTGAAGGGCTTGTTCAAGGTCACATGGCCAGTTAGTGACAGAGTTCAAATTAACCGGCCTAAATGCCAAATGTCCTTGTATATAAAACACCTGCTGATGCCTCTAACAGAGCAGTTTTTGCAGATATTTTATGCTGTCCATAAATCCTCTTGCTCTTGGCCTACACAGATTAGATAAAAGGAGGGATTACATTGGATTCTAAACATTGTAGGTGTAGGTGGATGCTCTTCCGCCCAACCCTAATATTAACAAGTCATATTTCATCTTGGGAGTGTTGGTGTTTGAAGCTCTGTTGCCACAAATTTAAAAAATCGGCAATCCAATCTCAGCACTGCTAGCAAAGCTTTGATCTCGGATTTACTTCTCAAGATAGTGAATTCCAGGAAGGCATAACTGAGCTAAATCTGGAGGTATTTATTGTACTCCAAAAATTTGAGGATAAAAACATACAACACACTTCTACCCCATGCACTATTCATTATTATCATTATTCATGCATCTACTCAATGAATGTTTATCAAATATTCCCTATATATTTGGTACTACATAAGGTATTAAAGATACAAAAAAGAATGAGACAGTCCCGCTTTATAATCTAGTTGGTGAAAGAGAGTTTATACTAAAATAATACAATATTTAAGGGCTAAAACCAAGGCATACATAAGGTATCATAGATGATAAAAGTGCTAAAGAAGAGTCCTCAGAAAAAACTCAGAGACGAGATAAAATGGAACAAAAAACTTAGGTAGATATATAAGGAACACAAATTGATTTCTTCCCTAAAATTAGTCATATAAGTTTGGTGCTGATGTAAATGCCTGTCCAATGCTCCCAAATGGTCTCCCTGCTTCTACCTTTGACTCCATGAGGTATATTCTCAATCAGGAGCCAGGGTGACCCCATTAAAAGCTAAGTCAGATCATATCACATTTCTGCTCAGAATCCTCTATAGCTTCCCATCTCCCTCAGAGTAAAAGCCAGAGTCCTTAAAATGACCTACAAAGACCAACACGATCTGTTCACCTGCCTCCTCCCACCTCTACCCCATCTTGAACTTCTGACTTCATCTATTATTTTTTCCTTGTTTCCTCCCTCCAGGCCACATTGGTTCATCTCTATACTTAAACACAGGCTCACTCTTACCTCAGGGTCAGGGTACTACTGATCTCTCCACCTAGAGTGGTTTTCCCTTGAGTATCATTGTGGCTCCCTCCCTCCCTTCCTCCAGGTCTTCACTCATATGTCACCTGATTAGTGAGGTCTTCCCTGACCACCGTATCTGTAGATCTACAGCCCCCCTCCCCCCACCCACATACCCATGCATGTGCATGCTTACACAAATATACATATGTGTACTTCCTATCCCCCTTTTTCTTGCTTTCTATTTCTTCTGTAGTGTTATATATACTGTGAGATACAGAAAATACATATATTAGTCTCTGCCCCTAGTTCCCAGCACAGAGCAGCTAAAACTTGTAATTTCTTAAGTCATGAGCATATCTTGTTCTAATATTTGTCTTTGAACCACACGGGGCTCTTAAAACTTATAAATTCTTAAGTGATAAGAGCGCAGGAGCATCTTTTGTTCTAATGAGGTGACTCTGGATGGCTCCTAAATGGGGGCTGGTCACCAGAAAGACCAAGCCATGATTAGAAGCTTGGAATTTTCAGCCCTACCTACCATCCTCCTGAGAAGGAAGAGGGGTAGGAAATGGAGATGGTAATTGATCATGCCTACATGGGGAAGCCTCCATAAAAATCCCAGTAGCATGGAGAGCTTCTAAGTTGGCAAATGCATCCGCACTGGGAGAGTGACACACCCCAACTCTACGGGTACGGAAGCTCTTGCACTCTGGACCTTCTCAGACCTCACCTTATTCATCTCTTCCTTTGGCTATTCATTTGTATCATTTATCACCTTTAATAAACTGGTGAATGTAAGTAAGTGCTTCCCTGAGTTCTGTGAGCCACTCTAGCAAATTAATTGAGCCCAAGGAGGGGGTTGTGGAAACCTCTAATTTGTAGCCAAGTGAGACAGAAGCTGTAGGTAACCTGGGGGCCTAATACTTGTGATTGGCATCTGAGGTAAGGTAGGAGCAATCTTGTAGAACTAAGCCCTTAACCTGTTGGATGTGACACTGTATCCAGGTAAATGGTGTTAGAACTGAGTTAAAGTGTAGGACACCCAACCCCACACACCACACACAGGTTAGAATTGGTGATCAGAACCATTTCATATACTTATCATATTACATATTTTATTTATTTATCTCAATTTTTTTTGGTCTCTCTCATCACAGTGTAAATTCCATCTGTCCATGAACCTTTGTCTATTTGGTTCATTACTATTGTCTCCACTGCCTAGAAGAGTGTGTGGTATAGTAGGCCCTCGATAAATATTTATTATAAATACATGTCTTACCAGTAAGGGCCATGTTCTAAGAATATTTTGTTTTACCTTCTATATAAATCTCAGCAGAGGTTGAATCTGTCCCATAGATGTTAGAAGCAAAGCAGGAATAGCGTCCTGTGTCTTCTTCAAAGGCTTCAGCAATGGTCAGTGAGTGCAGATTTCCTGCCTGGACAATATGAATGTCTGGGGAATTTTCAAGCTCCTTGCCTTCACAGTACCACCTGCAAAGAAAGGAATATTGCACATGACTGAAGTGTGAAAACTAATTACATAGATGCTCCAGATGTTCCCTAAGAACAAAACTGTGACAACTTAGAATCAGGACAGTAAATGGTATAATTTGATTGTAACAGTGAGAAGAGTTGGCAATATTCAAGTGTCACTATTGACACTTTATTCAAGAAATTGGGAAATGGCCTCTACTGAGAATGAAACAACTGAGTGGGGTGCCTGGGTGGCTCAGTTGGTTAAACGCCCGACTCTTGGTTTTGGCTCAGGTCATGATCTCAGGGTCGTGTGATCAAGCCCTGAGTTGGGCTCCATGCTCAACAGGAAGTCTGCTCCTTCCCCTGCTCTTGCACTCTCTCTCTCTCTCTAAAATAAATAAATAAAATCTTAAGAAAAAAAAGAATTAAAAAAAAAAGAATTATACTACTGAGAGAAGATGGATGAGAAAGCAAATACAGCCAACCACAAAGAGCAGGGTCTTTGAGGAGGAACTTGGCTTCTCCTAAAAAGATGTAGCTTTCCATACTATGCATTAAGTAAGTGCTCCTTTGCTTATTTGGAGAGAACCTAAGGGATATTAAAAGTTCATGAGGTTGAGTGCACTCATTCTCTACTATGAAATTATATCTGACCTAGCTAAATGAAAATTATTTTGTTGGGTTACTTGAGTCATCAGAGTAAGGGTCATATTCTTCAGTAGTGGCCCAACTTTGGCAAATTACCTAAGTATGTTTCCATAGATTATGGTACTTCATTTTGATTCTATATCCTTGAAGTTAGAAATTTTTATTATAGTTTTTTGGCCAAAAATTTACATAAAATAATACATACAATAATGTTTAGGGGCTCCTGGGTGGCCCAGTTGGTCAAGCATCTGACTCTTCATTTCTGCTCTGGCCATGGTCTCAGGGTTGTGAGATCGAGCCCTGCAACAGGCTCCATGCTCAGCTGGGAGTCTGCTGGAGATTCTCTCTCCCCATCCCTCTCCTGCTGCCCCTCCCTGCCGCTTGTGCACATGCCCTCTCTCTCTTTCAAATAAATAAATAAATCTTAAAAAAAATAATGTTTAAAATGTGGAGGTGCATAAGAGAAAAAGACATCAAAACTACACAGAAATACAATTTCTCATGTTACACATTAGCAAAACTCTAAAAGTTTGATGAGTGTCATCCACTGTTAGTAGGAATGCAAAATGGCGCAACCCCTATGAAAGGAATATGGCAATATCTGCCAAAATTACAGATGTGTTTATCTTTGGACCCAACAATCCCACTGGCAGGAATCTCTCACACAGATACACTTGCATGCATACAAAATGACAAATGTACACATTACTCATTTAAATAGTGAAAGATTGGAAACAACTTGAGTGTCCATCACTAGGGGTCTTATGAAATAAACTATGGGACAGTCACATAATGGAACACTATGCAACTATGAAAAGAGATTGGGAAAGATCACTATGCATTGATACGGAAAGAGCTCCAAGATATATAGTTAAAATTTTAACAGGAAGGTACAGGATAGTGAACATGGAGTGTTGTGTAAAAAAATGTGGGTTGTTATGGGTTGAATTATTTTTCCCCAAAAGATATGTTGAAGTTCTAAACACCAGTACTTGGGAATATGACCTTATTTGGAAATAGGGTCTTTGCAGACATAATCAAGTTACAGTGAAATTACTAGGATGGGTCCTAATCCAGCATGCATGGGGTTCTTTAAGAAGAGAAAAACTCTATGTGAAGACAGAGACACACAGAGAGAATGGCATGTGATGGCAGAGGCAGGGATTGGAGCGAGGCTGCTGCAAGCCAAGGAATGCCAGGAACTGACAACCACCACCATGAGCTAGAAGAGACAAGAAAGGAGAGTGCCCAGAGTCTCAGAGAGAGCATAGCCCTGGTGACACTTTGGTTTTGGACTTCTAACCTCCAAAACTAAGAGTTTATTTTTACTCAGTTTGTGGCACCTTGGTACAATAGCCCAAGGAAACTAAAGCAGGGGGCAAAAAATAAGGTATAGTCATGTTGTTTGCATCTGCATAAAGAAAACTGGAAAGATTGAAACGAAAATCAAAAGTGGCTCCCTGGGGTGCCTGGGTGGCTCAGTTGGTTAAGCGACTGCCTTCGGCTCAGGTCATGATCCTGGAGTCCCGGGATCGAGTCCCGCATCGGGCTCCCTGCTCGGCAGGGAGCCTGCTTCTCCCTCTGACCCTCCCCCCTCTCATGTGCTCTCTCTCTCTCATTCTCTCTGTCTCAAATAAATAAATAAAATCTTAAAAAAAAAAAAAAGTGGCTCCCTATTGGGAAGAAGGGAAAATAAGGTGGATGAAGACAGATAGGAGCAAGACATCTCAGCCTACCCCTTTTTATATTGTTTTCATTTCTTGAAGTAATAATTATTCATCAACATCATAATAAAAAGTGATTAGGTGGGGAGGTGTTACCACTATTCAATGTCAAAAATTAAGGAGTCCTGGCAATTGCTAATCTTTACCGTAATTTCAGATCTAACCATTCGGTGTTTTAATCCCTCCCTCCCACTATTGATAAAGCAAGATTCCAAAGCAAACTCACCCATTCAACAACTTCTCAACAGTGAAGATTTTCTCTACTTTTGCCTAAATTTGTCATATTTACCCCAACATTCAAGTCTCTGCTCATGTTTTTCTATCTGAGATTCTCTTCCTCTGCCTTTCAGCTGCTGCAAAGGTAACTCATCCGTCAGTTTGGCTCAGATATCACCTCCTATACAAAAAACCTTTTACCATTAATTCTCAATGATTGTTATTTTTTTCTAACTTCACTTTTTTTTTTTTTTCAAACCTGTACTATGTCATGTAAGGCTTGATGATGCATTGTCTTTATTATTCTCGATTTGGGGGATTTGTCTTCTCCCACCAATTTCACCAGATTGTAAATTCTTTGAAGGTAGGGAACTGCTTCATATGCTCTTGCAAGCAGGCACAGCGTTTTGCACAGTTCTCTGTATGTTCTCTCCTTTGGCCATCTTATCTCATCCCATAATTTCAATTATCACCTCTATTTGGGATTACATCCAAATGTCTTTCCAGCCCTGGCTTCTGGATACCTTCTCCTGCCACTCTCTCTTCACTATGTTCCAACCACATTGGTCTTTTTTCTACTCTGTGAACACATTAAACTCTTCTCCTTGTTAGGATTTTTGTTCTTCCTGCAATCCTCTTCCCCAGATCTTTACAAAGACAGGTCCTTCTCATCAGTCAGGCAGGCCTCAGCTCAAATGTCCCATCCTCGGAGAGGCCTTCCCCGACCCTCTTCCTAACATAGCACCTTTATCCTCAGACCCTCTATCATACTACCCTCTTTTGCTATCTTCACAGTACTTGTTATCTGAAATCAGTTCACTTTGCTATTTTTTACAATCCACACCACTGGATTGTAAAGTGTCCATGACAGGACCTTATTAGTTTTATTCACCAGTGTAATCCCAACACCTACAACAGTGCCCTGACACATGGTAGATACTCAGAAAATATGTGTTGGATTGTTGAAAGACCAAATGATAGAAAGAATTGACAGTTAATATTTTGTAAGAATTTTGTTATTCATCAAATTCTGTGCCAGTTTTTGATCTGCTGTGACAGCATTATATGTAACTGCTGAAATGGGTTAATAAATCTCCTAGGCATGAATCTCAATAAGACCCAAGGAGCTTACGGGGCGCCTGGGTGGCTCAGTCATTAAGCGTCTGCCTTCTTCTCAGGTCATGATCCCAGGGTCCTGGGATCGAGCCCCACATCGGGGTCCCTGCTCAGCAGGGAGTCTGCTTCTCCCTCTCCCACTTCCCCTGCTTGTGTTCCCTCTCTCGCTGTGTCTCTCTCTGTCAAATAAATAAAATCTTAAAAAAAAAAAAATAAATAAATAAATAGGGGTGCCTGGGTGGCTCAGTTGGTTAAGCAGGTGCCTTCAGCTCAGGTCGTGATCCCAGAGTCCTGGGATCGAGCCCCGCATCGGGGTCCCTCTGCCCCCCGACCCCTGCTCATGCTCTTGTTTGCTCTCTCTCTCTCTCAAATGAATAAAAAAAAAATCTTTAAATAACATTGTGATATGATTATATTGAGGCAGTGAAGAAACAGAGGTGTTGCTTTAGTCAAGGGGTGCTGAACCCCCATCTTCTGGATCAGAAAGTCAATGGGAAATAGTTAACATCAGTATGCCAAGCAGTAGTGGTACGAGCATATTACGGCAGCTCTCAAAGTATGGGTCACTTTCTATGAAGACAAAGCTATTTTTATATAATATTAAAGTATTATTTGCCTTTTCACTGTGTGGATATTTACACTGACGGTGCGAAAGCCACAGTGGGTAAAACTGTCAGTGCTCCAGCCGCGCAAAAAAAAAGGCACTGCCAAAAATTGACTTGTGGTCGCTGTGTTCCTCACCTCCACACTCACCGTTAAAAAAAATTTCAGTTTCATTTAAAAATGTCCTCAGTGAAGCAGTACAAATAATTACTTTTATTAAATCTCAACCTTGAGTCCATATCTTGTTAACATTCTGGGTGGTGAAATGGGAAGTAACACAGAGCATTGCTACAGGATATGGAAGAGCACTTGTGTGATTTTTTTGAGTTGAACTAAGCATTAAATGCGTGGAACAATATTTGAACTTGTAAGAGCGACTGACAAATTACGGTTATTCAGACTTGGGGGTCTGGCAGATGTTTTCTCACAAATGAATGAAATAAGCCTGTTGTTTCAAGTAAAAATAACTGATACCTTTGTTGCCAATGAAAAAATTGGAGCTTTCAAGGAAAAATTAAAGTTTTGGAAAACTTATATCCCCTACTGTGAATTTAGAGCTTCCCAATACTTAAAGACTTTTTGATAAAATCAGATGATGATATTAACACATGTGCTTTTTAAAAAATATTAAATAATAAAATGTGTCAACATTTGGAAAATCTGAATTACTCATTTTCCAAATTATCAATGCATGATATTATCCATTTA